TGCAAAAGGCGCAACTTGCAAACGTAAAGGTTGACCTGGATACGAGACATTTGGAAGCGGTGGCAGAAAACACATTGCGCTCGGAGTAAACGATAGAGCTGGTCGAGATGCGTTACATTATACACATGTACCGGAAGTTCAATGTGCCCTGGGTGACCAGTGCAAGACCAGGTATTCAAATGACATGTCGTGCAGCTGTATATTGTTAGCTTTAATCTGGAGTTTCCTGCACAAAAGCAGCAGGAGAGGACAATGGAAGACGAAATACGCACGCATGGTCGAGCAAAGCACCCATCGCAGGATCATATAGACCACCAGGTACAGGATTGTTGAAGGAATCCAGAGTGGGAGTATTATGGATTCGCTTTACAGAGATCGCTTTGATGTCTTCGTCGGAATATACATCAAAGTTGATCCCCGCGATTGCGGAGGCCACCGGGCGTGCGAAAGTCGCCATTGTCCCTGTCGCAGCTCCTTGAGCACCAGAAAACGCCGGCGATGCGGATTCTTTTGAAAAATGCCGGCTGCTAGCGGAGGAACAAAAGGCGGGAGCGACGATCTTGAAGCCGCGAAGAAAAAAAATGGCCCAGCTTTTTTCTGCCGTTTGGAACCGCCTTCGCATCCACCTCTGCTACAACTTCCGGATGACGGCCATTCTTTCACCATTGACAATATCCTCTAGCTGCAACCCCGCAACTCCTCCGGTACCTCGCCCTTCTACACCATTCGCATTGCTATAGGCATATTCTCGTGTTCGGTGGGTGAGTCGAGAACCTTCATTTTCAAGCACCATGACGGACGTGTCAGGCAACGTGCTGAAGCGGCCTCATCCCGAGGATGAAGACAATAATGCGCAAAAGAGACCTCGTTCGAATCAAGGGTCGCCTCACCCAGGACAGGGTGCCCCGGCAGGTGGTAATGTCGACATCGCAAAGGTAGTAGCAGAGGCTAGGGCAAAGGCTCAAGCCGTTCGTGACAGACTCATGGCAGAAAAACGAGTATCTGCATCTCCCTCCCCGGCTCCGCCAGCGCCCTCGTCTTCCAGTCCAACCCCTGCACCCGCCGCTCCTGGTTCTGCTATGTCTAGGCTGGAGCAGATGAAGGCTCGGGTAGCAGCAGCAACAGGGCGATCCCAGGCGACCCCGCCGCAACGACCCAGCGCGCCCACACCTCCACCACCTCCTCCGGCCTTCGAAGAAGACGAAGATGATGGCTCATCTCGCGCTCGTGGCGGTCTTGATGTTGGTCTTCATCCCGCCCTTCTGTCGGATAACTTCGAATATCGTGGAGGCAAAGGGCGGCAATCAGGGCAAATGAGAAACCGTAAGACTGAGTCTCCAGCGGTCGGTGGGAGGCAGGATCGAGCTGGTCTTGATCTCTCCGGGCCCTCTCTTGAAGAAATCAAAAACAACCCTTATTACGATCCTAGTCTAGGGCCGAAGGCGGCGATTTCCAAACCCCGGCAGTCGCGCCAACTCTTATTCAACCAGAAGGGCAAATATATACAGCAGGCTGCGGCTCTTCGTCGACAGGCCCAGTTGGAGGCTATGAAAAAGCGCATTGCCGAACGAGCTAGACAAGCCGGTATTGATGAAGACTTGGACGTCGAAAAAGCATTCATGGTGCCGGCTCCACCGGCGATCGAATGGTGGGACGAAAATCTAGTGTCTGAGCCTGATTACTCGGCGATTGAAGACGAGAGTAGTCTCAAGATCGACACTGCCGACACTATAATTACCCCCTACGTTCAGCACCCGGTGCTCCTTGAGCCTCCGCAGGAGAAGCTCAAACCAGAACTGAAGCCAATGTATCTCACACAGAAAGAGCAGGCTAAACTACGCCGACAGAGGCGTATGGCGGACTTGAAAGAGCAGCAAGCGAAAATTCGCTTGGGCCTTGAACCAGCACCCCCACCAAAGGTTAAGAAATCGAACCTTATGCGCGTGCTAGGTGAGCAGGCAGTCAAGGATCCCACGGCCGTTGAGGCGCGGGTAAACCGAGAGATTGCAGAGCGGCGGGACAAGCACGAGGCCGCCAACGAAGAACGCAAACTCACGAAAGAACAACGCCATGAGAAGCTTGCCCGGCAACAGGAGCAAGATTCCGAAAAGGGTCTCTTCATGACAGTATATCGGATCGATAGTCTTGCAAACGGGCGCCACCGATTCAAAATCAGCAAGAATGCAGAGCAGAATGCTCTAACTGGCGTTTGCGTTATGCATCCCAAATTCAACCTAGTTATTGTCGAGGGGGGGGCTCATTCACTCAATAACTACAGAAAACTCATGGTCAATCGTATTGACTGGACCGAGAACGTAGGGCCAGGCGCTGTCCGTGAGGGAAACCGCGAGGCCCAAACGTCATGGCTCGCTGCTGAAGACGAAAAGGGTGAGCTGAAGGACCTGAGTTCCAACACATGTACTCTCATCTGGGAGGGTCAGGTCAAGGGTCGCGCTTTTCGAAAATGGTTAGGTGCTCGGGTCTGCGAAAGCGACTCCCAGGCAAAGGACGTGCTAGCCCGCGCAAAATTGGAGAGTTTCTGGGTCTTGGCAAAGAGCGCAAAGCAAAGCGAGTTTTAAACCGTGAGCTTACCGACAGAAGTGTCTACGCCGGAGCAATTTTGATGTATTAATAAACACAAGAATACCCCATGCAAAACCATGTATTATTGAAAATGGTATCTCAAATATGTATGTAGCATTAAAGCAAACGTAAAACTTTTCCGTAAGACCTATCCCAACCCTAGCGATGCAATATGCAAGTATAACCTCTAGAAACAAGTATTTACATAGTATTCAATTCGTCACGAGCGAGGCGGCCATTGATTTCCATTGCTCAACTGCCGTAGTAGATCCAGCTGTGCCTTGACCTGATCAAAATTCATGGCCTGGTTTTGGGCCTGCGGTTGTTGCCCTGTGGCAGGAGGCTGCTGCGGAGGCTGCTGCAGAGGCTGGGGCTGTTGATACTGTTGCTGCTGCTGTTGCTGCTGTAATGCAGCTAAGAATAGCGGGTTGATATGGGGAGTGGGCGACATTTGTTGATACGGGTTCGGTTGTTGATAGGCCTGTTGGTATGGCATTTGGAAATTGAAAGGTGTCGTTGGCATCGCACCTTGAGCATAAGGCTGCTGCGGCTGTTGGGGTTGTTGTGGAAGAGATGGGTAGGACGGATATTGTTGAGATGGGTTGAATGATGGATAGTTCTGGGGCTGTTGGTGTTGAGACTGGGGCTGAGCATCCTGTCTTTCTTGTTGATGGTATGGCTGACGATCGGGATGCGAGTGGTGCCCATGCTGATCCCTGGGCCCTCCTCTTCCACGCCCACGGCCACCACGGCCACGATCAGAACCTCTAGCGCGACCTCTGCCGCCTCCAGAGCCAGAATTCCTGCTCGAGAAACTATCGCTCTCAACAGGCGCTTCTTGTCGCATCATCTCGTGCAGGTTCTTAGGACGTGCAAGTGGGGTGTAACCATCTTCAGGAACGTTATCGTCGTAATTAAGCTCGCTTTGGCTCAACTTTGAGGGGCCAGGCCCGCCTCTTCCGGACCCTGAAGGGTTTCCATTCGCGTTGTTTTTAGCTCCCTTCTTCTCCTGGCGCTTTTGCTTCAGCTTGCGCCTATACTCGGCTTCTTGTTCGTCGTCAGAGAACTCGACTTCATCTTCGGCAACTTCTTCATCATGGAAGTTTGACGCATCGCTTCCCTTCAAACCCTTCAGTGGTTGGGTGAACACGAACGTAGAGTGCTCCACAACATAGTATACGGGAGTACCTCGAGATAGACCGCGCTCTTCAACGTCCGCTGTAGTGGGGAATCTAACGGCGTAGAGCGGGTTCTCGACTCGTCCTAGAGTCTCAGAGACCACACCGGCAACTCGGCGGTCTTCCAGGCAAAGGAGTGATCCAACCTCGAGGACCTGATATTCTCCGGTAATATTTGCTGTAATAAGAACAGTATTCTCAACGGCAGCCTCCACATTTCCTAGGAGCACGATCTTCGTTTCAGGAGTGATAGTAACGTCTGGAATTGGCAAAACCTCCTCGGGAACTTCATTTGCTGTCTTCAGGGTTGCGCCCGTTTTACCCCTTCCTTCGCCTTCGTCGTCATCGCCTAGCTCTCCTTGCATCAGAATTCGGGCTTGCTCCTCGGGGCTAAGGATGGGGTAATCCTCATCCTCGTCATCGCTATCCGAAGAATCTGTGTCGGAACTGTCAGAGGAGGATTCATATGGGGAGGAATCGATCTCCCATTCCGGATGGTCTTCCTCATCCTGCTGTTCAGCTTGCCCGGCTGCAGCTGCCTCGACCATTGTACTCTCGGCACCATCGTTCACATTGGCACTGCTCAAGGATCCATTATTCGTCCCAAATTCCCCTTGGGATTGTTTATCATCCAGCTCAACTTCCATTGCATCTGTGTCTGTCGCGCCTGATTTCTTTCCTTCTTCGCTTTTGATCTCATTTGTACCGGCGTCGCTCTGGCCTGTTTGACTTTCTTTGACGCTATCATTGACCAAGCTCAACCCGGGAATCAGTGGGTGTGGATTCGAGGCTACAGGTGTTTCGGTAGGCTGGGGTTCAATTTTATCTTCCTTTTTCTCTTCCGTCTTCACCGGGCTACCTGCGGCCAACGGAGTGTTGTAAAAATCGCTTCCATCATCTGCTGGCGTCAACGCAATTGGTGGCGTATCGATGGCGCAAGTTCGTTTAACTGGAGGTCCCTCGGGGGTAGCCCCGGGGTTGTTCTGGTTATTGGGTTCCGTCATATTAATGACAGGAGGTATTGAAGGGGGGAAATCTCGATAACCTGCCGGACTGCAGAGTGTGTGTGGTGTTCTTCGAGGATTCTTCGCGGGAATTTTTTTATGGAACTGCCACAATTGCCGTTGCGGTCGCCGGATAATCTCTTATCGATAAGGATAAGTTGTTCGTGGCCGTTTCATTTGCGGACTGTTGAGGACTCCTCATCCTCTGCCTTGGGTCTATATATATTTATCCAGAATGTCTCGGAAAGGAACTGAGGTTCCTTCTGTACCCCAGATGCAGGGAACTCCACGGACTAAACAACGGTATTCAATGCCACTGTCCTTCATCTAGCCCTACCATCTAACGCGACATTACAGTCCGCCTCCGCCGCCCTTCTACCTCCCTTTGAATATTACGCTCTGGGTATGTGTCGTGTCAAACGGTATCGCAGCTTTCCTTGCTCCGATACAAGATTGCGATGAGGTCTTCAATTTTTGGGAGCCCACGCACTACCTGGATCACGGGTATGGGCTCCAAACATGGGAATACTCACCCGTGTATTCAATCCGAAGCTGGCTGTACATCTCTATCCATGGGGTTGCGGGAAGAATTGGCTCTTTCTTGGTTGGCAGGAAGTCGTCCGAGTTTTACTTTGTTCGGATTTTCCTCGCCATGATATGTGCAGCCTGTCAAACCAGACTGTATTCTGCTATTTGCCGAACGTTGAGCCCAAGAATCGGGCTACTGTTCCTCATGATTGCCGCGTTTAGTCCCGGAATGTTCCATGCCTCAGCAGCATTTCTTCCGTCAAGCTTTACGATGTATGCGTCTATGCTAGGCCTCGCTGCCTTTTTGGACTGGAGAAAGAGCCAGAAGACGGCGCAGGGAATCATGTGGTTCGGTCTCGGTGCGATCGTGGGATGGCCTTTTGCCGGTGCTCTATTGCTCCCCCTTCTATTTGAAGAGGTCGTAATAGGATTTGTTTCAGGAGACATGCGAAAGGTGTTTTTCGAGGTTATGAACGGAGCTCTCAGGTGCCTAGCGATATTGGTATATCTCGGTTTTGTTGTCAGCTTTCGGTTTAGCACTAACAATTTCAGGTCGCCGAAATCGCTGTCGACTATACCTTTCTTCGCAAGCTTACCGTCGTGCCGTGGAACATTGTCGCATATAACGTATTCGGGGGTGAAGGTAGAGGGCCTGATATCTTTGGCACAGAGCCTTGGACGTTCTACGTCAGGAATCTGCTCTTAAACTTCAATGTTTGGTTCCTGTTCGCGATATCATCGGCTCCACTGCTACTCCTTCAGGCTGCATTTCGTTCCCAGACGACGAACAAGGAGACCCTCTTTCGAACTGTAACCCTTCTATCTCCTTTCTATATGTGGTTTGCGATATTCACCCTGCAGCCCCACAAGGAGGAAAGATTCATGTACCCGGCGTATCCTTTTCTTGCTCTCAATGCAGCAATTGCCTTTCATATGATACTTTCATATATTGGCTCAAGCAATCCGAAAGAGCTGATCGGACGAGTCCCCGCGAAGTTAAAGCTCGCAGTGGTGATGTCTATAATCTTGGGTGCTATAAACGGTGGGCTTCTCAGAACTTTTGGTATGATCACTGCATACAATGCGCCGTTGAAAGTTTTGCGGCCGCTGGAGCAGCCAGAAATAGCCCAGCCGGGTGACTTGGTTTGCTTTGGTAAAGAATGGTATCGCTTCCCTTCATCTTTCTTCCTCCCAGATGGAATGCGAGCCAAATTCATTCGAAGTGAATTTCGTGGCCTGCTTCCCGGTGAGTTCCAAGACGCCCGGGACTATTCTGCCGTACTTGATGGTACGTCACGGACACCAGAGGGTATGAATGACCGCAACGAGGAAGACGCAGGAAAATATGTAAGGATCCCAGGAATACCTTGCTTTAGACATGCTAATCATCTGGCAGACCGACATTTCCCAGTGCTCTTTCCTGGTCGACTCACATTTCCCCGGTCGCCAAGCCGCAGGACTTGAGCCCAACTATATACAGGACGAGGAGCGGTGGGAGGAAATTTCCTGCAGAAGCTTCCTTGATACGTCTGAGACGGGTCTCCTTGGCCGTCTTATCTGGATTCCTGATCTACCGATCATTCCAGATCGTTTCCGCAGAAAATGGGGGCAATACTGCCTGCTCCGACAGCGCACCGCGGATCCTGAAACTGAGTAAACTAAACAGTATCCGCGCGAAAACCATAAGCCAGCAAGCCAATATCTATGTAATGCCCTTACTGTGCACGTATCCGTACACTGGTTGCGATCCTCAGTGGCAGGACCAAGGACTGATGCGCGGCTTTACCTGATGCGGTAAAAAGATCCCCAGATCTCCGCGCAGAAGCAGTGGCCATGCGGACTGATAACCATGTCTCGTCACTCCCCCCTTCGTTGATCGAGAATCATTCGCGGGGAAATGACACTTTGCAGTCTCCCAATGATAGGCTCACTCTGGTCGCATCCGATTAACAGAAAGGGCAACCAGGCTGTCTAACCCAGGCACAAACGTATATCAAGTCGCTCGCTATAAGAATGGCTCTCCCAGCCCTCATCTATTGATAGAATGCCATCTTTCTTAACACTAATCTCTACTCAAATAACAATATGATACCTGAAACATTTCATTTCGCACAGCATCATATCAGGAACATCGTCGCCGCCTCAGCAGTAACCACGTTCTGCCTCTGGGTTTTCGCCACAGTTCTACGACGATGGAACATATCCAAATACTCAAGGTCTCTTTCAGGGCATAAGGGTCAAAGGCCGATGAGAGAGTACGGAGGTGAGGCTTCTTCGCACACCGTAAAAAGACGTAGCTAACCGTCGTCCCGTATGTAGAATGGACGCCATCAAGCTTCAAGCGACCCCCTGCAACTCCATTACCTGATTGGGATGTCCACAATACGAGGCCTATCCCCTACAGGCCGTTCAGATACGGGCCGTAAGTCACATCAAATTGTCCTGCAAGTATACTAAGCTAAGCCGTAACAGCAAATACTTCATCACGATGGGCCTGCGGAGCATGAAATGGGACGAGTGGATCGGTAAGCCAGCCCTATCTCCATCCCCTTCCCTTACCAAAACACCAGTTAACCTCGACTCAGAACTCGATAACCACTACCTACGGTACCACGCAGATAAGGCCCGCCGGATCCAAGAACGCGGGGATAAATGCTGCGCTACCGCACCTGAAGCATGGGATGCAGCAATAGAACTTCTCGAGGAACTGTACGCCACCACCCCGACTCTCTGCCTCTCCCTCTCCCTCTCTCTTCCCCTCCCATTATATACCTGACTAACACCACATCCTAACAAACAGCACCTCATACCTCCCTGAGCGCTACCCAACCATGTTCCAGAAGACCCCAACAGGCCTAACAAACCTCGTCACCTCCGAAACCTTCGACATCAAGCAACGGCCCCTCCCCGAAGACCCCATGGCCACGTGCGCACGCCTCGTCCAAGACGACCTCGCCATCATGATCGAAAAACCCGACGGCGAGTACTACCTACTCGCGGGTGCAATCCTCCTCGCCGGATTCTGGCGCCTCTCCGACAAATACGGCATGCGGCTATCCGAGATCCACACTTCCGGTGACGTCCCAGGGTACAGAGAGAAACTTGAAAAGGGGATGATGAACTTCTTCCGCCGATTGAAGCCCGAGGACCCTGTGTTGAGGAATAACTACTTCATCCAGGTCGACGACTCCCTGCCCTGGTCACATAGTATCGGGTCCGAGGATGCGCCGTCTGTCTCGTGGAATACAGCGCAGAAGGATAAGGCGATTGAGAACCACTATTTCCGGTCTGAGAGGCAGTCGCTCAGACGGTTGCCGAGGTCTGGTGGGGTGGTGTTTACCATTAGGACTTATTTTGAGCCGATTACGGCGGTTGTGCAGGAGCCCTATGTGCCCGGGCGCTTGGCGAGTGCAATTCGGAGTTGGGGCGATGATGTGTCCAGGTATAAGGGAAAGGAGAAGTATGGGGATGTGCTGCTAGAGTACCTGGATCGGAAGCATGAGGAGCAGGTCGCTGCAGGGTTAGATCTGGAACAGGAGGGGGAGGTGAGAAGTTATCCTTTCTAGCCTTGGATTGGGACCTCTTTTGTCTCCTTCCTTTATGCGCGATGTGGTCGTTTGACTAGGTTGCGATGTTATGTTAGATTTTTTCCATGGTGACATCCTTTCTTTGTATATATGATCTAGTTCCCATGTTTTCGTCTGTCTGTCTTTAGCGATGTTATGGCGCCCTTACAATATAGTATACCATGATGCAATAAATATCAAGTCCAAGTGCTCCAAACACCGATACACAATATACCCTCCTAATAAAGATGCTATGAAATGCAATCATGATAAAATACCAAACGCCAGAAGCCCCGATATATGCTGCTCCTCGTCGGCGCGCCTGTTCAGACAGATACAAGTCACGCCTGGACGTATCCCTTCTTCCTCACATAGGCCCACTCCCGCTCCTGACGCCACTCGCAATCATCCTGGAACTCGCAGATCCGACATTTCCAGGCCTCCATAACCTCAACACCGCGCGGGGTCCGTTGGCCACGCCACCAGTTCATTTGGTCGGATACGTACGACTCCAATGAGGTAGGGTCGAACAAGAAGGATCGACTTCCCAAGACTCGGGGCTGGAGATCAGCGGTTGCGGCAGACGAAATGTAGCGGGCTGTGAGAAGGGGCGAGAGGATCGTGGGGTAGGGCTCCAGCATGCGGGGTTGAAACTCTGATGGGATCGAAGGTGCAACTGGAGCGGATGAGAGTGCCGGAGGGAGGAAAGTAAAGCGAAGCTGGTCTTTCATCAGTTTCCAGAGACTGGTGAGGTTGCTGTTTGCGAGGAGAACACTGGTGGAATCCTGGCTTGCAGAGGGTGGGCAATCTTTTGGCTCTGCGTCGTCGGAGCTTTGGGATGAATGCCATTGGTGTCGTGTGAGTGCATCCTCGGGGGTGGGAACATAATCAGGGTCAAATTCTAGGGAGGAGAGGGCATCGAAGAACTGATCGTTCAGGGAGCCGACTTGGCTGATGAAGGCGTCGGTAAAGGTCTTCTTTGGATCAAGCTCGTACCGCGACGCAAGCATCTCGATGGTAACATCATCGCTCGTGATTAAACGATTGAGCATGTGGTAGTAAAGCTGAAGTTGAAGCATCGTCGGCCGGAACGATGAGCTCTTCACAGTCGGCGTCGAGCTGCTCCCTCGCGTCTTGACATCAGTCAAGTAAATCCGGGGCAGATGCTGGATCTCAGCAGAGGATTGACTGCTAATCGGATCCTCTGCCGCCTCGGGCTCTACCTCATGGTACGACATATCGGCTAGTCTCTTCCCCCCATGCGCAGGAGACAGCAAGTGATCCGTCAGCGACATCTGGTACTCAGGCAAGACCGCCCTCGATGCCTCTGTCTCCGCATAGTGAGCAGCGGCGGAAGCCTCAAGCTCCGGGTCAGGACACTCATAGGAAAGCTGGTCAATAACCCCATTAACAAGCTCCCCATCCACCAAACCCCAAACCTCCAGCTCTCTCGTAATTCCAAACTCCCTCAGCGTCCGCAATCCCTGTATAACGTTCCAAATCCGCAGCGCCAGCGCATCCTCCTTCGTCGTGATCTCCACGGGGACAGTCGTATAAATCTCGTCCTCCAACGTCTTGTGTATCGTACTCCCCTTCTTCATCGCCGGTGTCCTCCGCTTCCGCCCATGCTTCGTCAAAGTATACCAGTACTGCACCTCGCACCAGGCAGGCGAGACCAAATCCGTAACGGAAAAGGCCTTGTTCGGCGGCCTTCGAAAACGCTCCACAGGCGATAGCATATCGTCCACGGCTTTCTCCTTCCTATCACCAGTCCCATTCTCATCCACAGTACCATTCCTAATCGCTTCTTGCTCACGAGCTATATCCCTCTCCCGCTGCCTCGCCCGGCCCTCCGTAGAATCAGGATGCTCAACTAAACGCTTCGCAGTCAGACCGTCAGCGTTCCCACATCAACTTGAAATCAAACACAGGTGGGGGGGGAAACAGTATAAATAAATGGAGAATCGGTAAAACGTACCAGCCGTGGGCCCCCTGAAGATAGGGACCCAGCCTGCCTTATGCTCACGCGCATCCGAGAGCGCTCCTCCAGCTTTCTGAACCTGCCACAAAGGCCATTTCTTCTCCCTCCCCAGTACCCTCGGCACCCGACTACCGCCCGCTGCATCATCCTCGCCGCCTGCTCCTAGGTCTTCGATATCCGGGATCGGCGCCGGAGCCGGGATGAATCCGGGGACGGGAATTTGGTGTCCGTGTTGGTGTTGAGAAAGAGACCTAGGTATTGTTGTTTTTGTTGTTGAATCTGTCGCGGTCGCGGTCGCGTCGGCTTGCGCGAGGAGCTGGCTCAGCAGGTCTGTTTCATCGGCGCTGAAGTCGGATCCGTAATCGCTGCTGGAACTCAAGGCATCGTTGTTGTACTCGTCATCGGATATTGCTTGCGTGGGATCAGGGGTTTGTTGTTGTTGTTGTTGATGTTGCGGCGGGCATGACATGCCTGTGTGGGGAGTGTTAGGCGTGGGATTTTGCCGTGAGGGTGAGGTGAGGCGCGTGAAGTAGATGTTGCGGGGAGGCAAGGAGGGATGGTGGGCTACAACGTCATCTTTAGGTGGACTTAGTGAGCAGTTCCTGGGCGCCTTACATCGCTTTTCCAAGGTGTTAGAAAATAGACCGAGTCGGGAGGAGGGATGTTCTGGAGATTGAGTCTGGAGTTCAAGGTTCGTCGACGCGAGAAATCGCCATCACAGCCAGATCACGAGCTACGGACTATACAGAACAGAGTATTAATCCGTCTTCTCTCATTGGCTTGCCGGGCAAATATTTGAAGTCTCAGCATAATCCACAAGATAGCCAAAAATTACTCTATATGTTTATTCTTCTGTCATCTAATGCAGACCACGTATCTAGTCTAAAATCTAGCAAAATCCCCACGAAATCGGGTATACAACGAGTGAAGCCAACCCAAACCAAGAAATATGTACAATGAGCCTCACGCCTAATAACCAAGGCTAGGCCCTAATAGGGACTCTATTCCCATCATTAACCTGTGATGGCGACGAAGCCGGCTCCGTCAATGCACCCTCTACCTCCCTGGCAGCCTTCTGATTCAACCAGCTCAGATAGGTCTGCCACCCAACCGCAATACATCCCGAGAAAACGTTCCGGAACTGCGGCGGGACGTACATGAAGCTGAATGCCGTAACCATGGGCCAGAACTTAGCGCTGTTCACGATGCTCCGTGGCAGAGCGACATGGAGCCGCTCGAGTGTCTCTTCCCATGATGCACCAGATAACAGCGAGTGGACGCTGAAGAAGTAGGTGTTGAAGACGGGAGTAAAGACGACTTGTTGGACGACGACCTTGGTGAGGATAGAGAGGAATTTGGATGTGAAGTTGAAGTGGTTGTGCAGGAACATGAACCTGTACGATTCTGTATTAGTCTACCATCTCTGAGGTCGAGTCAGATTAGGTCGAGGCAAACATACCAGTTATATGACGGGATACTCGATCCAATACCCACGGTCAAATGGCGCATCGTCCTCCACGGGTCATATCCTCCCACCTCAACCGCACCACCATCTTTGCTCTGGGGACCAGACTCAGTGGTCTTACCCTGCGCCGCGCTCGACGTCTTCTCCGGAGGAAAGAAATACTGCGCGCTCAGGTCTCCAAATAGGTAGATCACAATCGAACTACAAATCTGGGTGGTATAGGGCTTCTTCTCCTGAAACCGGGAGTACGACCGGCCTAGCCTTCCCACAGGTCCTGCCTGGATTTTCTGGCGCAGCGATCGTGGCCCCGACTGCGCGGGCACCGCCGGGGGCACTTCTGGATGCGGGGTGGGAGCAGGACTTGGTTGTGACTTCGATGGTGAGGGGGAAGACTTCGGAGGCTCGCTTTTGGGTACGGGATCAGGCTTCGGAGGTGTGGTTGATTCATATCGTCTTGTCCGTAAGCGCGGGGGCGCGGAGGATCTGGAGGGTGCGAGGGTTGGGCGGCGGAGAAAAAAGGTGGGTGAAGGTCTCATTGCGAGGGCGAGGGCGCGCCGCGCTCGCAGCGCGGGGCTAATGAAGTGGTTTGTTGTTCTTGTGGTTCAAGAGATGTCTAGTTCATGATAAGAATAAATCTATAGTGGATCGGCAAAAAAGAGTGACTCGATGTCGATAAGGTGGTGCTGATAGAAAAGATGGCTCAGAAAGCGTCGGGCTGTCGAAACAAAAAGCAGCAAATGAATGGAACGTCGTAACAAAAGAAAGATCTATCGCTGAAAAATAAGAGAGGAGATGTTGAGATTGATAATCGTGATGGCGACAGAGGGAGAGGAAATCGGCAGCCGCAAACTCAATATGCCGAGGACCGGAGTTGGCTTCCAATCGGAGAGGATGTTCTTACCCGACTGTTTACTCCAAGTCTGCGGAAACTCTTCAATATTCGCGCCACATTCTCTGATTATCTTGTTGTTGTTATTAGAATAATGCGATTAGTGCTATCAACTATCATGAAGTACCGTTAACTCCGCAGAAATCTTCTATTGGTCCCCAGACAGTCGAGGTGATTTCTCCGATCAATCATCCCAGATAGTGCACACATGGAATCCATACAAGCCCTAGGGAAATAAGCGGTGACAGCGTGGACAACATTCAGATTCTCTCATTCTAGAGACTGGCTACGCACTTTACGGAAGAAGCTCCAGCTATAACAAACAGTCATTATATCTCAATCATTATTAATACTATAAATTATTATCAAAAAGCCAGACACCATCTATAATGCAAACCGTAGAACCATGCAGGGTATATCCAAGGCCAAATCAAGACCACTTTTTTTCGCTCTTCCATCTCGCGTCTCACATCACATTCATAGAATGCAAAGTAACGTGGAAACCAGATACTAGAAATTATGTACCGTGATATAATATAAGTATAAGCGCAGACCGAGCACTATATTACGCCGACCCCGTCCGTCTATTTGAAGGACTCGCGAGTGTTGACACGGTCGATATCGTAAGGGTTGCCCTCATACAAGGACATGTGCGACATGTGAGATCTGACAGAGGCCTTGCTGTGGGTCGGCCTCATAGAAGGAAGTTCCTCGACATCAGAGTCTGCCTCGGAAACATCTCCCTCGTCCTCTCCGAGATCTGGTGCCGGCGCTTCAGTGCGGTCGAACTTCTCGGGCTCTTCTCCCTCGTCGGTCTTCTCGCCGGATTCGCTCTCGGGTACGGCCTGCTGCATCATCTTGCGCATGAAAGCGTCGGACTGGGCGGCGTACTTGCAGCGGAGACGGATCGGCTTGCCGTACTTGTAGAAGAGGAAGGGGAAGGGAACGCAAGCGAGGGCGAGGAAGGCCGGAATCGAGGAGGCCCAGTGGATACCGAGGTCTTGATACATGTAGGTGGTGAAGAGGGGGAAGACGGCACCGAAGATCGAACGCAGGACGGAGTTGGCGGCCAGGACAGAGGCAGCGAAGATGGTGTATGTGTCGATTAGGTAGCTCATGATGCTAAGGAACACCAGCACCATACCGAAACCGAAGGGGGCACCGGCAATGATGCAGACAATCCAGTGGATGGATGGGTAGTTGGTCCACGCGAACCAAAACAGTCCGATCGGAATTGTAACGGAGGCCACCATGCAGGGAGGCAGGCGTGCCTCGGGAGGAGCAAATCCGCCATGCTTATCCTGGGCGCGGATGTACCGTTTGTTATCCCAAATACTGTATGCAACGGCTAGAATCATGCCGACCATGATACCCAGGAAGGGAAGAGCGCCAATGCCCTGGCTCCAACCACGAACACCCTGGAAAACAATGGGGTAGGCGGCGAAAAGCATGTACAGGGTTCCGTAGACAATGGCCATGTACAGAGAGAGCAAGAACACAATAGGCTCGCGGAAAAGCAGAATCCACGGCCGGGACAAGGCCGTCTTGAAAGCCTCGCCAAGTGTAATCTTTCCCTGGTCAATGTCTGCCTTGCTTCGGTATACTTTGCCGGTGATCTTGGAGAGTCTTTCGGCGCGGCGACGAAGGAGAACGGGAGCGTATGTCTCAGGCATGAGGAGCGAACCGGCAATCCAAAGGGCACCCGAGAAAGCGCCCAGGAAGCCCATAACCCATCGCCAACCGGCATTCATTCCAAGGAAGCCACCGATAATAGGGCCGAGGACCGGGCCTAGAGCAAGCAACGTCAGCTTCAAATCGCTCAATCCACAAAACGCAGGGTAATATTATCGAGAGCCTTACCTAGGAACGGAGCAGCGGCAAACATACTCATGGCAACGCCACGCTGCTTAGCCGAAAACATATCGGCAATGACACCACCGGCATTGGTGAGAGGCGAAGAACCAAACGCACCGGCGAAAAACCGAAGGATAATGAGAGTCCATGAGTTTGTCGCGCCGGCGCATCCACAGTTGAAAGCTGTAAGAGCCATGTATGTAAAGAAGTATACGATCTGTCGGCCAAACATTTCACTCAGAGGCGCCCAAAGCAAAGGTCCAATTGCGAAACCCAGGACGAAAAGAGAGACACCCAGGGTCGCAACTTCACTGCCAATCCCGAACTCAGCTTCGATCTCTGCAATACCGCCCGTATACGCGGAAGAGACCAATGCGACTGCTAGAGTCGCAATAGCAGCGATACCCGTGAGGAACCACTTCATTGTCTTTGAGAATTCCATAGGATTCCGGGGATCGTTGGGGATCCAAACAACAGCATACGGATCGTCCTCTGTGCCGGATCCAGCATATTTGTGGTCGATGACTTCTTGTGTCACGACGCCCTGGTCAACAATCATGCGATAGAACGGGATTTTTCGAGTGGCAGGGCCCTCAATAGGCGAGGTCCCATTTGCGGTTGTTCCATGGTCTTTGGCCATGGTGCGAAATATGATAATCGCTCAAAGGCGAAACTGGAGTTGACTGTATGAAGCGAGAGAAAGAGCGCGCGGGTCTGAAGCTGCTGCGCGGGGTGGTTAGTGTTATAGCTCTGGGTGGAAAAGAGAACAGCGCCGAATGCGAACAAGTACTGACTCTCAGTATATTATATTATTATAAAGTATGCGCAAATGGCAGGATAAAGAAATTTAACAAGCACCACTTTCCACGAGGGTCCAGGGACGCCTTTCCACCTATATACACCCAGCAGAAAAAGTCTTCTGACTTCATAATTATGGAACCAGATTAATCTTGACTTCTGTAGCCTCGGATGGAAGACTCAGACGGAGCCGGGCACAGCGCAGTCTCTCGTTGGCTGGCAGCGGGCCAAGCAGCCAATGTCCAGCATTAAATCGGGCTATGCACAGTTTGCGCCCATTATTTCCGGCATCGATGGCAAAGTCGGGCTCATCCGAGCTGCCCACTGCGACCGTAAAACAAGGACCATGGGCGGAGCGCAGCGCTGATTCGCCGGCTGCTTCGATTTTTGCTGTGATGAATCTGTGGATCAGGCCGAGGGGCGGTCGAGAACGGACTGGCTGTCTTGAACTTGACACACCATGATGTGGACCGGGTGTCATGATCAGCATAACAAGACATTGTTCACTTCATAACTCAAAGCTTCGCCCATGTTATCGCCATTAAATCCGCATCGTGGGTTTTACCGTTTACTAAGCGGGTTCAAGCAGTATTTCTTCGGAATTTAGAATCAATCCCAGGTTCAGAGGTTGAAGGCTTCCGGTGTCGAGTTGCACTGCATTCGGCTCACACGGCATCTTGCGCTGCATTCGGAGTCGGCCAAATTCCTTGCACCGCGTGGCTTTCTGCGCTTATCCATCGGTCAGATAACAGATTAGTTATCAGATACCCCCGTGTTCTTAAATCCGTCCACGAGTCAGACTTTGATCCGACCGTGCATAACCGCGCACTGTGCAGGCCTTCAAGGGACGGGTCTCTTCATCTCGTATCTGCACCTCATCATAATGATATTCTCAACGGGATAAACCTCCGGGCGCCAGTTACAGGCAAAACTTCGGATATCGCCACCACGCACGATCCTCGAGCCCCAAGCCCAGCAGGCAGTACCCTTGGAACCTCCTAATTTTCATCGAAGCCTTCGTACAATTTTTATATCGATTTCGCCCCAATCGATCAAATTATGCCGAATCGTAACCACTAACCACGTTATGGCCATGGAGCCTCAACAAAAGGGGAGAAAAAACTTTACCAGGCGGCAACCCCGTCGACCCACTGCGCTGGCCCCAGTCTGCCGGAGGAACATCCAGATTCTAGAACTACGCCGTTAGCTACCAGATTTATTTGAGTCATAGCCACCCTGATATATAAAAATAACACTGAGACTTGGGATTTACCGAGGTATGTTGGCCTTTGGTGATTTTTTTTTGTTGTTTCCAATACAAGAACACGCAGCGTCGCAGCCTCTCCAGGGTTTCTAGAATCAACCAGCCTGGAAATTGCTTACTATCGGCTTTTGGCATCCCGCTCTCGTTGGCTCTGAATTTCGAAGCTACTGGGTTATTTATCAGCAATGACTGCTACCCAAAGGGTACCAACGTATCACTACTCTTGGTAGGAAGCACAATAAGTCTAGGGCTGCCACTTGGTCAATATTTCTATGAAGGTATCCACAAATCTCCTTTCTACGGCGTAGGCAGCATCCATCATGACTCCTGAATGTCATCTAGATGAGACCAGCTTCAACCCTCTCATCTCAGAAATACAATAGGCGGCTCCATCTAGGCATCTGCCTAATGTTCTCTCGGCCTCCACCTAGACATCGTATAACCCACCTCGATATATATACATGCGTAGACCAGGAAACGGAGTGATATCTATCATATTGCGGGAGAAAAATCACACTGGGATCAAGTGTTTCTGCTCCAGCGATAGCACAGAAGGTGGGCAAAATGGGTGATTATCTGCTCACCCTCAACACCAGCGTTCATGCTTTATTGAGTTCTTCATCGTCGGCATTAGCCAACCCTGCTGGGGTCACTAGCCGCTCCAATGCTCATTGTAATGCCAAAGGGTCGATTGCTGGGAGTGACCACTCTGACCCATCATCAGTACCAAATCAGAGCGTCACTGGATCTAATCAACTCGATAAACCTCGTCCGGCTCTCCTATCGCGTTCTTTATTATCGAGGCATACCGGTGCGTTCTTGTCTTGCTTCCCACACAGTGCCTTATTATGAGCAAAATGCTGGGGAACCCAAATATACGTCTTGCAACTCACTTGGAAACGCCAAAAACCCAAGGTGTTGCCTTGCTACCAATAGAATTAGCAACATTCAACGCGGTGCTGGTTCCCGCTCTCATCAGTAGGTATGTTATTGTGCTACCGCAGAGTTGGCCATATCCGATCTGGCGCAACTATTCGTCCGGCGGGGTAGACCATAACAGAGCAAAGAGACAACAGTAGATAGGGATGGTGTAATCCAATGGGGGTGAAAAGAGAGTTTTCATAACACGACGGACGACCTGGACTGGGTTGTTGGTAAACACTAAACAGCGAGTGCCTTGGTCCCGGGGCAGTCGTTTGCGTCATTGGTTGGTCGCCCCAGTTGGATCACAAAGTCGAAGATTAGGCTGTATCTGCAGGTCCCGCGGGTTCGACCGAGATATCAACGAAGTATATCACTTGAGTCTTCATTAAAATCCCCAGGCTGTCCATTTCATTTTAGAAGTCGTATGTTACTTAGCCTAAGCGTCCAGGGCGGTGATGAGGTCGAAATGCAAAGTAACTCGGTTTTGGTACCTTGAACGCTAGGTGGATAGGGGGACAAGAGTGACGGAAGAACATGGCGTTAGAAAAAGTCAAATACGAGGTGAATGGGTGTCCCTAATGCTTCCGGTAGGATATAGAAATACCAGCAGCACGATATAGATATTGTAACACAATATATCGATGATAATGGAGCATTTGTTGATGGACAAGAGGTCCAACCCGATTCTATATATTGAAGCCTGAACACCCAGTAGCGCTTCTCCATTCCCATCACCCCATCAACCAGCAGCTCCTATACACGCTATGCAGCCAGATCATGTTCACAATTTGATGCGAATACGTAACATTCAAATTTCTAGTCGAATCAAGACCTCTGTGATGCTCAAATTCACCATGAACGTACCTCACACCTGGTCTAACATCCGCTATCTTCCGGCAGCACAGGATCCAGAGCAACCCGACAACAAGAACGATAGACCCATTAAAACCACTATGAAAAGCACAAGTAATCCAACAAAATCATGCGTATGCGTATGCGTATCTGCCTGACGTCTACGAGGCCGATTACGTTCGGGTGATGAGTGTTAGGCTGTTTCAGGTAGGAATCGATTTCAGTGAAGGTACAGTCCACGGTCGCATTTCCTACTCCAGCTTACAGCACCTATGAAGTGAATCGTGAGACTACTTGATTCTACTGGCCTTGCGAAGAGGATGAGCAACTCAACATGATATAGTGCATATAATGATGGTATAATCTCTACGGTTCATCGCTTTCGACGATGACGATCCGACGAGCCTTGCATGCTGGGCGCGACTTGCGACCGGAGGCAACAACAACGCGACCGACGCGTCAAAATGCTACGCTGATTACGAGTGAATATGATGATCAGGACTAGACTTGATTGATCATAGATACTGAAATTCGTCTATGCCACCCGGTGGCACCGACAAGGATACCGTTCGAGGATTTGAAGTTCCTTAATGTACATAGTATTCGAATGCATCCATGATGAATCCGTCCAGCCGCTGGATGGGCAGCCTACTATTTATCGTAGCAAGAAAAACACGAAAACCCATTGCCGAACCCATTGATATTGGAAAAAAAGAAAACCCGTCATGTATCGCCAGTCATGAAAAAGAAAAGATGAACCCCATTATCGCCTTCCCATAAGAACCAACCACGAAACGAACTTAAGAACGCTCACCACGGAGGCGGCGGGCAAGCTGGATGTCCTTGGACTGGATGGTGACACGCTTGGCGTGGATGGCACACAGGTTGGTGTCCTCAAAGAGAGAGACGAGGTAGGCCTCAACGGACTCCTGAAGAGCACCGATGGCAGAGGACTGGAAGCGGAGGTCGGACTTGAAGTCCTGAGCAATTTCACGGACCAGACGCTGGAAGGGGAGCTTGCGGATCAGAAGCTCAGTGGACTTCTGGTAGCGACGGATCTCACGGAGAGCGACGGTACCTTCGTGGATGTTAGAAAAGGGCGACGATGATGATCATCAGGCATAACAACTTACCAGGCTTGTAGCGGTGAGGCTTCTTGACACCACCGGTAGAGGGGGCGGCCTTGCGGGCGGCCTTGGAAGCGAGCTGCTTACGGGGAGCCTTGCCACCAGTGGACTTACCTATTGAGGTAAAGTTAGCATCGTGTTATCCAGGAGGCGCGACAGTGACACGACCACGCCAACGAGAGGAAGTGCAGTGAGATGATGACTTACGGGCAGTCTGCTTGGTTCTAGCCATTGTAGATGATTAGATTTGATAGAAAATGTGGAGTTTAGGATGAAAAATCGACGATGTGGATGGAAAGTCGATGGCTGAAGATAGGTGCCGACCGAAAGGATAGATAGATGAAAGAAGGATGGAGGGGGCGGGTGGGGGAAGGTATTTGTAGTAACCGAGGGGCGGGTGGTGATCCTGTGGTTTGCCTGCGAAGTTGGGTGGCCTTAGCGCCGTTTCCTTTGATCAAAAAAAGCGTTCGGAATCCAGCACACCTTAGCCGTGATTTCGCGGGCCGGTTTTTGCTGGGAGAATCAAAAGGGTTGCGGGCCAGGGCGGTCAGCCTGGCAGTTCACGCTAAGCGAGACTTGGCCCGGTAGCCAATGAGCGCTCAGGATCATTGATCTGGAATGTCTCGCCATCACATTCTGATCCCAACCTCACTCGTAGACTGTCGTTCGATCAGATGAATTCCAATGGTTTCTGTAACACGTAGTAGCTCACTTGCAATTTGCGGAATGTTGATCCGTGTCCTGACGCGCTCTCGCGTTGAGATCAAGCTGTCCCTGCAAGATCAACCTGCGTCAGGGTCACGTTACCCGCATCTCAGCCCGTTGAGTGATCATCCGCTCTGATTGGTCGATCCTCTCGCCAGCGAGTGATTCCAGCTCTCTCCCCACGCGTCTCCCTTCTCGTATACAAATATCTCCCGTCCCATGGAAGCTCATCCACTCCTTCTATTCCCATCAATCTCTCTGTCCACTCGACATTAATTTATCTCCACAAAAACAACTTTAACCTTATCTCACACATCCATCAACATGTCTGGACGTAAGTAACAGCCATCCTTGCCCATCATGAGGCTATCTCGAAGATCCTCAACTGACGCGTTTTGTCTCTTCAGGCGGAAAGGGTGGCAAGGGTCTCGGAAAGGGTGGCGCCAAGCGTCACCGCAAGATCTTGCGTGACAACATCCAGGGTATCACCAAGCCTGCTATCCGTCGTCTTGCGCGCCGTGGTGGTGTCAAGCGTATCTCCGCCATGATCTACGAGGAGACCCGTGGTGTCCTCAAGACCTTCCTTGAGGGTGTCATCCGTGACGCTGTCACCTACACTGAGCACGCCAAGCGCAAGACTGTCACTTCTCTCGATGTCGTCTATGCTCTGAAGCGTCAAGGCCGTGAGTATCCTTTACCATCATTCCACTCAACTCGCTCTAACATAACTTGCTTTCAGGTACCCTCTACGGTTTCGGTGGTTAAGCGTGTTCTTTCTGCATTGTTTTCTTTTCCACCATCCTGCGCGGTCGGCGCGTCGGTTGCCCTTCCGCAGCAGTGACGCGACGGTTTGCTTTTTCGGGTTGGTTCACGGTATGACTGGGACGTTGGGGTGTTCTTTGATCTTTTATTACACAAGTGTCATGGGTCTCTGGGTTTGCTTTAACGTACTTTTTTTATTTATTCTCCTACGCGTCCACTACGGGTCAGATAGTGTGTTCGCCTTTGGTTCTCTGTATCATAACAGCCTTCATGCTCCCGGCTGTCGCCATGGGCTAAATAAAGATCGCGCGGCATGGTACGCGGTCATATGAATACAAACGATCAAAAAAATCAACCTATCTTCTGTAAACACTGCTAAGCTGTAACTCTTGGTGTTTTGTTTTTGACGCGTTCGCGTTTTTGGTTTTGTTTTGGTTGTGGTATCTTTCCGGGTGCTAGTGGGCTTGTTCCGCGTCTCTGTATTTTGGCCCCTTGGTGTTTACTCTATTGTATGTTGATGGTGGTTGGTACTATTCTATATCACTCGCGTGTCCTCTAATATCGTATTCTTATGTAGTGTTTTTGGTTCTACGATTTGTACGCTTCTGGTTACTGTTTATGTTATGTACGCTATATTTGTCTTAGGGATGGCCCTGGTGTAGTGTTTTGGGCTTAGATCCTTGGATTGTGCTCGCGAATTTCTATATAACTATGCTTGCTCTGCCACTGTGCTTATGTAGCTTGGTCTTCGTGTGCTTGTGTGTTCGATTGTAAAAATGTGGTGGTGAATAAGCTTGTTGCAGGATATCGTGTAGTACTGCTATGTGATACTAGTCGACGAAATATATATTGGAATGGAAAATAACCGAATCACGATATTCCACAACTACAAGCTCAAAAGCCAATTGTATGGTCAAAATTAACATGAGTTACAAATAATAAGTAAAAATAAAGTATCAATACTCAAATTTAGGCGTGATATCACAGCGTAGAAGCCATTATCCTTCCCATCGACCACGCGAGTCGAGCAAGCAAGCCGCGCCAAGACTGACCCAAAAGGAAAAACCCGAGCCGAGTTGCAACCCACGCCAAGACCTTCCCAACAGGGAAATAAACCGCAACGGTTCGCTCGGGGATTTATCGAGTCGAGTCGAGTCGCAACCCGAATGTTAGATCTACGAACCGGGAATGAATTGTCGTACCGGCCTTCCCACGACATTGGAAGATCATAGCAACCATAAAGCGACAAGACACTCTTATTTGCCCGACGAACCTTTCGCATCTCTTTCTCGACGGAGAGCTCGCCCGTTCCTGCACCAATATGTAGTAGGATGCCGCATGGGACAACACCGACCAACACGACGGAGGCCCGAGAAAACCCCCGAGCCACCTACTACGCGTCGAAAACCTGCCGATATGCCCGACGGTACGATGGACGCGTCCTACAAGCTCTGCCCCTCATATGGGTCAAAAGAGGAAATGAACGAGCATCGACATCAAGGAGAGTACGGTACACGGGCGCGACTGCCGATTCATGGCCGGGCGATAGCCACACTCGCCCCACAAAAGGTTGCAATGCCTACCGGGGACACAGTTCAACGTTGGTTGAAATTCCCAGGACATTGTTGAAAGTTCAGCGCCTAGGACAGTATCTACATAGGTAAAGGTAAGCATTGTTTGACAGGTTGAACTTCAACCAACGCCGAGGGTTTCTCTGCTCCGGGATTCTACTAATGTTATGAGAACATCAACCAACGCTGAGCTGTATGCCCCTGCCGACCAATATAGCTAAGACAACCGTGACAACAATGTGACGACGTGGGAAAGTGAGGGTATATTTAATCATGGACAAGCCAATTCACCGCCATCTATGACCCTGCCATTGCAGCAGTAGTGTCGGTATCACCGAGCCCCCGACGAGCAGAGCAATAATGATCCCATTACTCCCATAAAAGCCGACGCTCTCCAACATATCAGGGAACCTGAAAACGATCCGATTAGCGTACGGTAGCTGGTCAAATGAAGCGGTGCCATGCACTCACCAAAACGGCCCGATAAACCCCCAAGTTTGTCTTACAAAAGTAATAAAGACGCCGACCGCAGCTGGATCCCTCGAATAACAATCCACCGCATATGTGATGTCAACAGTCGTGACAATCTGATTTCCTGCAGCTGCAATCGCAGCCCCAACCAAGGGTGTAACATTCCAATTACTCGAGGCATTCTCAGTTTGGACGAGAAAGACCACGACCCCGCAGACAGCGAGACCAATACCGATATAACCAAGCCACAGCCTGTACTCGGGAGCCGGAGCCCGGCCCGCTCGCTTCTCGCGATGCCACATCCATTGGTCTGAGAGATGGCCACCTATGTGCTCGCCGAGGCCGGAGCCGATAATGATGGCTAGGTTCTGGAGGCCGACTTCCTGTGCGTTCAAGCCGAACTTCTCGGGGAAGACTTGTGGAATTTCAATGGATATTAAGATGCCCGCAAGAAGGAAGACCATCGAATAGGCGACGGCGGGGATTAAGACGCAAGGCCGTGCAGCCAGAGACAATGGACCGAGAAAGTCCCGAAGAGTCAGAGGAGTCGGATTAAGGCGACCGAACCCGAGAAGACGAGGCTTGCGCATCTTCCCGTCATCCCTAGTGGACGGAGTATAGAGCGTTTCACGGCCAAGGAAGAAGTAAAGGACAAGTTGGACACCATTGACCTGGACCATGTTAGAACCTGTCGCCCCCATACCCATAGCATGGACGATGGGAAGTCATACTATCGCGAGCGTCCAATAAATCCATCTATAACCCACCCTCATCACCGCGAAACCGAAAATAAATGGCGCCGACGGCACCCCGAGAGTTACCATCAAGGCCCAAACGCCTATGTATCGAGCACAGTCCCGGGAGAAGAACATCTCACGCACAACGCCACTTCCCATCGCCGCAGCGGGGCAGATAAAGAAAGCTGTTATTGCACGACATAGACCCATAGTCGCGTAGGAGGGACTCCTAGCACACCCGATATTCCCAACAAGGCTACAAACCAACGAGAGCAAGAAGATGGGACGCCGACCGTATCGATCTGCAAAGGGCTTCCAGAACAAAGGAGCGGCACCAAGAATAGCAATGACCAGAGAGGTGAGGTAGCTAGCCCGGTGCACGCTGACGTCCAGGTCTTCGGCGATCTCCACGAAGGCGCTCTGGATTGCTGATGCCGTGAATGTTGCCATCATTGCGTGGAAAGCCACCAGGGCCAGATTGGTGATTTTCTGTATATCAAAACGAGTGTTAGTACATGGGCATACTAACTAGGAAATTAGACACATACAGCCCATTTCGACCAGTTGTATGGGTCGGCGTCATCCATTGATGGGATGGGTCTTAGCTGCAATGTCCCATGCCGCTTAAGGAGATATTCTTGATGCTCTCTCGATAGACCTTCTTTGCCACCAGCGTTAGAGAGCTCGGCCGTGCTTCCAGCATTGTCTGCCTCGACGTGTTCAGCGTGTGGTTTATCCATTTTGAATATTGCGCAGGAACTTCACTAACTGACATCCGAATTACGGGACTGATCACCCTACCTTTATACACCGAGAGCCTGTGGAGATGTCAGTGACCCACAATGAAAGATCCCCCCAGGTTTTGCTGGAAACTGTCCCCGCACCGGGGTAAGCTTGAGCTACGAGCCCGGCCACAGGGCTGCCACTATTCAGGAGAGGGTTATACAGGTGGTTGATAGCCTTGAACCGCAACGGCAGCCCGTGAGCCGATTGGGCCGTTGCATGCGGGTAGCTGTCCGCCGATTCGCGAAGACCAACAGAATGTCCATTTAACCTCCACACTCCCTGTGGAGACCACTCCAGTGACAACTACTCGCACAGCGGGATGCTAGAGTATAGCTCGAGGAATGATGGATCCTGCTGGTCGAATTCGTCCCGGCTGAATGTGGTAAGGAAGTCGCTGGAGGGGCGTCCGATATTTTGTAGGATATAATCGCTATCCCAAAAGTCGAGGGAAACTGAGGGCACTATCCTGAGTTCGTCTCCTGAATGGTGGTCAGAGAACGGAAGTCACCATTGAAGACATGGGTGGCCAAGCACGCACCAAGTGTATCGAATATAGCCAAAAGTCGCTTAATGCAACAGCCCGCCTTCTGTGTGATCAAGCTGGATCTCCCAAGGGTCTCCATAACATTGAGCGTCTCGTCTATCTCCTGGCGAACCGCGATGGCGGAGCTGACATCAAGAACACCTGGTTCGTGCTTTGTAACAAGAAGAATTACAAAGTAATGTAGCGCGATGGTGAGCACTGAAGTGTGGTAAGCCCCAAGCCATTTGATGTAACCAAGCGAGATCAATCATACTCGAATAGTTGCAGGTGTACCAAGCAGCAAAGGTACTGGTGAACGTCGCGCGGGTGTTGCTGAGCACAGATATTACCCTTCGCAGTTCGCGCACAGCATGCCAGTCATCCTGGACAACAAAGGGCAACCTCTGTCTCAGACGGTCAAGCGCCCGGGGCTCATTAGTAGACTCCCTAGTCGAAAGGAGGAACTGTGAAATGAGAGGGAAATTAGCGAGCATACGCATCCGATAGTATTGAATTGTCAAGAGCACCCGTGCCGCAATGCGACCATCGGTCGTTCCTGGACACGTCGGTAATTCGGACCCTGATATAAGCCCTCCGACTGAGGTTAAATTATCAGACCACTCTTCGATACGCCAACTCAAATCCATCCAAGGAGAGATCAGAGTCTGGATCTTTGGCGGCTCCATCAGCTCTAAGTTACCGCCATACAACGATTCTATGGCCTGTTCAATAACAGAATGAGACGACCTGTGATACGGTGAGCGGCGTTTGCTACTGGAAGTGATCAAAGGAAGCGCCTTACGCGAGATGGATAATGTAAAGATCGCTGGTGGTCGGATTTGCTTTGGGGGCCACTTCGTTGTTGACTGCACTAATAGATTGCGGAATCATGAACGGCCGGCCTTGCGTCAAACCCATAACCCTGCACCCATTATTAGCCTGCTGGATAGCTCCACACGAGCTGAGTACTTCCCTATCGTTCATGACTACACCATCCCAGAGACGCAAGCGAAGATTACTTTCGCCTGGTCTACACGAGGCTGTGGGAATCTTAGAATGGAGCCCAACGTGGAAAGCAGCCTTCACACATAGCGCATGAGTTGTATAGCTGGATATCGAGCGCTGGTGATTCTGCTTGTATTCGACCACGAGGAGCAGTGCCTGGACTTCAGAACATATCAGCTTCCGATCAAACCCACATGCTGACGCCAAATATACCCAACTCATAGCTCGGACGCTCTATGGTTCTCGAGTCCAGTAGTGCCACAGATCTCCGGTAGAAATCCTCCTGCCGTGGATTACCCAACGATGCGGACGCATGTGCCCAGACAATGTTTAGTAGTGCAAGTAACACTCGGCGGAATTTTGGGGGACGCTGCTCTGTTGCTTTATGGTACTCCTCGAGCAAATCTGACTTGCTGATATATGGGAGTACCATATTGATGGTGCAGAAGAACCGGTCGAGAAGAAGCGTGGCTTCTTCCTTCGGGGGCAGCGTATACAGCTCATTCGGCGCCGGTGTCGCTCTCGCCCCTGAACTACACGCCGCCATAGTTGAAATATCACTATGATGCTGGACACAGTGGTAGCACGAGTCCAGGTTCTGTGCCACCTCGTTTGATGGTAGGTACATCATTGTTGTTTGGGCAAAGATTCTTGATACCAGACGAAACATCGCATAGTTGGAGCTAGGCCCTGAAGCGTTTGTCAGGCAAACATTTGCACATGGAAATATGTGGGCGACTTACCGAAAAAACCAACTTCACTATCTGATGTTTCTGTCAAGGCGTTCGTTGATAGTACGTCTACGGGTACGCCCTCGTCTACGGCCGTCTCCTGGTCACAAGGTTCTTGGTCTCTCTGGCTGCACCCGGGTGTGTCGTCAGTCAATGGCAATTGGGGGTCTGTAACCGCTTGAAGTTTCCCCTCGAGTGTCTCTATTCTTTTGAGCAAATCACCCCGGTTTCCAGCCCTGAAACGTTGTTAGGTGCAAGGGTGCTTACAGAGTGAGACCCAAAACGTACCGTGCCGTTTTTGTCACACGACTGCCACCCGGAGACGGTATGTAAGAGCAATCTAGATGTAGGTCCTGGCACCGAGAGCAATTTGGTCGTGACCCTTCACACTGCGAGGTGTCAATTCATGGTGTTTAGACCGACTCGGGCACTCACCTTGAGTTTCCGGCGCCGACACTCAGTACACGCAACTTCAGTTCTCCGCATTCTGCGTATATTGCTCATACTGTACTGCAGTGCTATGTCTCTCCATGTCTGGCCAGTTTACTCCGAATCCTTGTCTCTTCTCCACGATATTCCCCCATATCACGGGGTTTCCCCACACAGTGACTGTGAACTCTCTGGCCAATCGGGAGTGTCCTTCCCGATCTCCTCCCGATCAACACTCAACACAACACACACTCAATGTACATCGCCAATTTGTCATGCCCTTGAGGTATTGGACGTCATATGTGCGGGGCGATTTGTTTTCAACGGAAACGATGTCTAATCCCGCGTACCCGAGATGGCATCGAGATAAATACCTACCGTGTCCTGGCCCAACCACAATGGACACCGCTACTCAGCCAAAGAGCGAGCAAACATGTTGACAGTCCTGGTCGAGTTATTGAAAGGGAACCCACTGGCTGCTGGGGGTACTGCGATTACTGCGATTATACTGATATATGTCATATATCAGCGTTACCTCCACTCTTTGGCCAAATACCCGGGCCCGTTCCTCGCTAGCGTCACAGACCTATGGCAGGCTCATCAGTTCTTTACCCTCCAACAGCCGTACAACCTGACAAAGCTTCACGAAAAGTACGGGCCTGTTGTCAGATATGGACCCGACAAACTGAGTGTCACATATGAAAGCGCCATACCGATAATTTATCAGAAAAGCGCAAGATCTATGCCGAAAACCGAGTTCTATGATGCTTACGGAGCCGCTCACCCAAATGTATTCGGCATGCGCGATGAAATAGTAAGCAGTTAAGGCTTGGTTGGAGATTGGTTCAGCATCTAATAGTTTTCTCTAGTTGCACTCCACAAGACGACGTCATATGTCACATAGTTTCTCCTTGAGTTATATCAAAGAAATGGAGAAGTACATGGACCTTAACATCCACATCTTAAAGGACCGGATTCGGACTTACTGCTCCACGGGAGAAGTTTTCAACCTCAAGAAATTACTACATTACTATATGATTGATGTGATAGGCGAACTTGCCTTTAGCCAGTCCTTCGGGGTACAAGAAGCTGATGACGAGTTGCTTGTCCCTCCCGTGATCGAGCACAGCCTTTTAGCCGCCGTGACAGGCGCATGGCCTTGCATGACAAAGACGTTGAAGAAGTGGCTCCCTATTGTACCACATGATGGCCTTCGAAAGCTCTTTGCAGGCCGGAAGGCTTGTGCTGATCTTGCTTCGACATGCGTTCAGCGTCGATTGGCGGACCTTAAGGGCGATGAAACCTCTTCCAGCATGGAGGATAGAAAGGATATATTGACCAACCTGATTAAGGCCAAACACCCTGAGACAGGCGAGAGACTTACACGAATTGACCTGGAAACAGAGGCGTTTGGTTTTATGTACGTTTATTCCTTGGAATGGTTTTGTTGACAATGGACGCTCACAACGTCTCAGTATCGCGGGAACCCACACAACCAGCGCTACCTCAACCCTCTTATTTTACCACCTCCTCCACAGCCCCGAACTTATGAGGAAATGTATCGAAGAGATCGACTCTAACCTCCCAGTGCTCGAGCCCACCGAGTCCGCATACTCCGTCACCGCCGCCGAATCCTCCCTCCCATTTCTCCGGAACTGTGTGCGCGAGAATTTCCGTATCACACCAGTCTTCACAATGCCGCTAGCACGCCGCGTCATGGACCCAGCAGGGATAACCATCGAGGGCAACCATTTCCCCCAAGGGGTGCGTACCTGACTAAACGAAATTATTGTTGTTTTGCTGTACATTTTCAGTTAACCGAGTAACATCCTATAGACATCCCTCGCTGTCTGCAACCACGCCTTCCACCACAACCCCACCGTATGGGGCCCAGACCATAACATCTTCAATCCAACCCGATGGGACGACCCCAGCGTGAACGCCAAGGCACGCCTCTTGATGCATTTCGGCCTGGGTGGCCGACAGTGTATCGGGAAGACGGTAGCCACGACCAACATATACAAGCTGTTCAGCACGCTTCTCAAGGAATTCACGTTTGAGCTAGCGGATGAACAGGAGCGGGCGGATGTGGAAATGGGGATGTATAAGGGGACGATCCCCGACCTGGTCAGTGTTGGAATTAGTGACATGAAAGGACCATTGCTTGTTAGGGCTAGGATTCGTTGAGAGGGAGATTCTCCATCCAGTGCTCTGTTTGAGGCGGCCTTGTGATGATGCATAGATCGGGGCCACCGAGTACATTCAGCCCCCGAAATACGTAACTGGATATATGCAACGCATTTCTGTACTTGGAGACCACGTTCACTGTAGAAGAAACTTGGACGCGCGAATCGTGGACCAGTTCGCGGCTTGCTGTGACGACTTCAAGGTGCTGTGTATAAACCGACTTAGTTCTTCGCCCGTTTGTCCATCGAGGCACGAAATACGCCGTTGGCCACTTGCCTCCAATTCCACTTTTAGCGAGTGCAGGCTTAGCGAAGCGACTACATTTGAGTTGATAATCGCCTCGCAATGCGGCCAATCGAGCAGCGCATTAATCGCGCGCAGGCGGATTGAATAATCCGGACAATGGGACGCGATGAGATAGAGACCCGGAAGAACACCATAATCCAGAGTGATTGTTGGGCGTTCAGGGAATCGAGCTATGAACGCGTCGTAGAAAGACATCAGGTCTTCATAGTCCGGGACGAACTCGGCAGGAATTGAGCCGTTAAACAGACATGTCTTGATAGCTACGATCTGACCGCGGCATTGGATCGCGTAGAGTTCCAGCGCGCGTTGTTCTCTGTAGCTAAGCTTGTGGTAGAAGCGATCGTGAAATGATAGGACCTGCGGGCTGAGTTCGCACCATAGCGAGAGAATGCGCTGTTGCTGGCTGTGCAGATTGTCGTGGTCGGCTTGAATATCAGCATCGGAGAGAGGCCAACATTTGGCGAGAAACGGAATGCCGATGTTCATTAGTTGGTGGATATGTTGATGCACGTCGCGTAGACTATGCAGTGGGAAAGCCTCAGCGGAAGATACCTCCTCGTCGGGCTGTATATCCGCGAAGAGGAACGGCTTGCCGGGGCCAAAGTGAGAGAATTCGACGTCTAACCGCTGGTATGTTTCGATCAACGAACGCTCTAGGTGATGCTGCTCCCGCTCTAGTGCCTCCTTTAAAACCCCAAGGCCACCACGAAGATGCCGCAAGGCACTATCATACTGTCCCAAAAGCAAGTCAGAAATGACAAACAGCAGACAGCAGAGTAGCACGACCTCCCGCAGCTGGGGATCCCGCGACGCCTGGCGATCGTTCAGGATCGAAAATGCACGCGAGGCCTGCTCAATAGCAAACCGGTGCCGCGGCACAAGGAGGTTCTCACCAGACAGGCGCATCTGGTTCTGGAACGAGTCCTCATGGACGGCACCTAGCATACTGGCAGCGTGATAGGCGGCGCGGTCGACGTGGGTCATTTGCATCGAGACCCGACGCCAGAGCGGCGAGTCGAGGAAGGCCGCTAAGCTGGGGATGGAGCAGTGCACGAAGTACGAGAAGGACCGCATCTCGTCTGCAGTAGTGTGCCATCCTAGCCGGGATGTGGCTGGGGGGATGCTCGCCAGCGCGAACTTCTTTACTGGCAGGCGCGCGAGGTCATATCCGTCGCATTTGCGGCCGGTCGAAACGCAGTTGTTGCATGCACCGGGCGACTCGTCGCATTTCTTATGGCGGGCGCTGAGATTGTCAGTATTTTCTAAGTAAAGTATGGGGGCGATTCTCACCGGCAGGTTCGACAGCCCGTCAAGGATCGCGTGGTGAACTTTCTGCGACGTGCCAGCGAAGACATTAGAGGCAAACAGAGACAGGTGTTCAGTCAGAGACGATGATCACCGTAAGAAAACTTGGACTCAGCTTAGCAGCCTAGACTCATCTTGGTCTTCGCTTAGACTCAGTTGACTCTTTGGACTCAGCTTGGCTTCTTCAGCTCTGATCGGCAAAGGTACGGCGTCCAAAGGTCGGAACTGAACTCACATTTCATCAACTCTTATCCTTCTGGTGTATACTTCATTGTCTACACTTTCTAACTTCCACTGAGATGACTTGCTGCTTGAATTGGCCTGATTGGCCTGATTGTCGGTCAGGAATGTTGCCATGCCTTGCATATTATCGCAGGGATATGCCGATGTCGCAGTCGTGACCCGCTGCATGGAAAAAGCAAAGATGCAGCGACTGATTTAAAATCATCGATTCTCATTTCAGGCTTCTGCCACGGTGTCGCAAATAACGATGATCCAGAACAAGAGCGACGGTGTCACCGAAAGCTATGAAGCGAGGCCTGTGGAAGAAGAGAGAGAAGCCCGCCTCATAGTGCGGAAATTCGACGTACGGCTGCTAACCCTGTTCACAGTGATAAACCTGTTCAGCTTCATCGACCGAGTCAATATCGGGAATGCCCGCTTGCTGGGTTTGCAGGAGGACCTGGACTTGTCCGGCCTCCGCTTCAATATCGCGCTGACATGCCTGCTTGTCTCATACTGCGTTGTCGAACTACCATCCAACATCCTCTGCAAGCTTATCGGTGGCCATATATACGTGCCGATACTAGTCTTCTGCTTCGGCACCGTTACCCTGCTTACCTCGCTGGTGACCGATAGAGGGGGGTTGTATGCCTGTAGGTTTATCCTGGGCGTATTTGAGGGAGGGATATCCCCAGGAATCGTCTTTCTTCTGTCATTATTGTGAGATATCAAAAGGTCTACCTGCTTAAAGCCAGTCTAACACCTATAGTTATCGCCGCCATGAACTCGGATTCCGAACAAGCATCTACATCTCCGCGTCCTCTGCGAGCGGCGCATTTGGCGGCCTGCTTGCCATCGGTCTAGCCAAAATACCTGCCTGGGGACTGATCCACACGTGGAAAAACATCTTTTTCTTTGAGGTTAATATGTTATTCTGATCATATTTACACCCGGACTAACTCTGGTAGGGGCTGGTATCTGTTATCCTCGGGGTCATCGCATTCTGCACCATCCCAAGTGGCCCCGGAAGCGCGAGGTTCTTGACCCAGCCGCAAAGAAAGCTGGCTGTAGATAGGATCCAGATCGATGCAGCTGGGACGAGTGAGCATTCACGCACTAGACTGCGACATGTTATTCAAGGCCTAACGAATCCGCCTATCGTGGCCTGCGCAGTGGGGTTCTTTTTTGGGAAGTGTGTTGTGTCTTTTATACTCTTGGAAGAAAATTATATGAAGCCTCTAGCTTGCTAATCAGGGGTTTACAGTACATGCGCACAGTCGTTCTCCCTCTTTTCGCCATCTATCATCCAGGCAATGGGATACACAGGCGAGCTCGCGCAGCTTCTTTCCGTTGGACCATATGTAAGATACCAATACCATGAGAATGCTAAACAACCTCCTAACCATAACCAACCAGGTCGCAGCCTGCATTGTCTCCATAATAGTCGGCTATATCTCAGACCGCTACCACACCCGCGGCTGGCTCATCCTCCTCACAGCCCCAATCGGCATCACGGGGTTAGGCATGCTCCTCTTCCTCCCGGCATCCAACCCCGGCGCAAAATACGGCGCTCTATACCTCGCCGCTCCGGGAATCTACGCCTTCCTCCCGTTGTGGATTACCTGGGCTGTGAACAACGCGGCTACGCCAACTGTCAAGGCTGTTGCGGCGGGACTGGTCTTTGCTGTTGGTTCGTTGGGCGGCATTCTTGCGCCGTGGGTGTATTTGGCCAAGGACGCGCCGGAGTATCGGCAGGGTCATGCGATTCTCTTTGCGTTTTTGTTTGGGTCATGGGGGATTTGTGCGGTTTTGATAGGGTATATTAAAAGGGAGAATAGGGCGAGGGAGATGGGGAGGAGGGATTGGGTTCTTGATGGGCTATCGGAGGAGGAGAAAGTGGAGTTGAGTAGTCGGCATCCGGGGTTTAGGTATGCAGTTTAGATATAGAAAGAGATATATGGCCATTGCTCTATCCTATTGTTCTATATATCTTATTATGTGGATACAGATCCACTGTATGCAGACAATGTACCTGTTCAAGCATGGTCTAAAGGAGACGGACTATGACCAATGTCCATGGTGTAGACATAGATCGGCTTCTTGATAGTAGTCCTTTGCCCGCCAGGCTGCACAAACCGGTTTCCTCGGTTCAGCTGCGACGCACACATCCACAGCCTCTGCTGCGTGTCAATCCACATCGCATCAACCCACAGCAACCGCCCATCACGCACCAGCAGGCTCGTCGTCCCGTTCGGCGCCAACCGCCGAATCTCCTGCCTGTCCCCATCACTATAATAGATATTCCCCTCCGCATCAATAGCCGTACCCCCAGTGCTAGGCGTCAGCGAGAAAGGCTCCACATACCCCGGCAGCGCCGCCGCCGCCGTCTCGTTATGCAGCGCCTCGTTCAAATACTTGGTCTCAATCCGCCACATATACCCAATCCCGGGTTGGTAGTAAAACCACTTCCCATCCGGCGAGACCTCGAGGTGATCGGCATGGATATACTGCCACTCGCCCGTGCTCGCAGAGCGCAGGAACTGGCCCTCAGCAGATAGCGGCATCAGTGCGACAACAGACTTATGTCCGCGGAGCACCACGCGCGCAGCGCCCGTCTCAAGATCCAGCACAATGATCGAACCGATGCCGAATTCTGTTATATAGGCGTGTCTACCATTAAACCGGACGTCGTCCAGCAAGCCTTCCTTGGTTATGGCGTCGCCGAGGTAGTAGATGCGTTGGACTTCGTTCGTGGTGAGATTGATGGAGACGAGTTTGGAGCTGTCCACGACCCAGAGATTCCCGTCTGGGCCTATACGCTGCGCATTTGTGGAGACGAATTTCGTTTGTGAGTCGTGTGCGCTGTCGGTGCTTGCGTTCCAGGAGTTCCAGGCGGCGTTGGGATATGGGCGGAGCGTGGAGTTGGTGTTAGGGCTGCTGTCGATGACTTCAACGATTGATGCGCCTGTTGTGCCGTCGATGTGCACGAGGTTGAGGAATGTGCGGCCTTCTGGAGTGGTGCTCGCGCCTGTTGTGGGTGTGTCTAGGATGATGCTGGTTTTGAGGCGGTTGTCGTGGTCTGGGGTTACGTCGGCTTGAACGAGTAGGGTGAATAGGGCCAGGATGAGGCCGGGAAGGTGGAACTTTAACATTGGGATGGTTTGGACGTTTTATGGTTTTGGAGTTTGAGAGTTTGTTATTTTGAATGTTCAAGTCGGTGTACTGGGGTTTTTAACCTTCTCTGGCCCCGAAATCGGATATCTGATTCAGACTGCATATACCACGCATGCAGATTACAGAGTAGTCAGCCCGACAAGGATGAGACATACTTGGCCAGTCGGACGAGAAATCGTCAGCTCCTAGAACTGAGGATCGGGCTTCGAGGTGGATATTGCAGTGCTTGGTGTAGACCTGTATACTCGATCTGATAAGACCGAAATTGACAACCACAGCTTGTACGGAGTATGCAACTTTATTGATCCCGTCTCTCAGCCATAGTGCCCAGCTTTCTACGCTTATAAAAGTCCATAGGAAGCCCCGTCGGTCTGACTCGGTCGGCAAGGCTGTAGCTCCTTAGGATTTTGACCGCATATCAGTCGGTCCAGTGTCCGAACAATTGCTTGAAACGAGACGCCTGTTATTCAAGGGGTTGCATTCACAGGGGCATTGCTCGAAATGGCGGGAGAGTTGGCTCGAATGAACAATCCAAGTAAAGTCATAAACACGCCCTTGGCGGTTTTTGTCTTGTGACTTCCCAACTATGTACATTCTGTAGGAAAAGAATTCCGAGGCCAAGAATAATGGTTTGTGACAGCCATCTTGATTATGCTCGTCGATATAAGAATGTTGGTCTTTTCTCTCCTTCGACGTTAAAGTTGCCGATATAAGCATTGCCCTCTGTTGGTTCTGTTCATATTGTAGTTGATATAGCTAGGTTCTATCCCCAGTCGATTTCAACAACGCGACCAGGGATGAGCTGATTGAACCGAATCACAATGGATGCAACTTGCAAGGAATGTTATGGCATGAATTGCCAACGGCCAACTGGGAAGGGAGGGCCCAAGCGTCAGAATGTTCGTTCTATCCCCAGTCGATTCCAACAACGCGACCAGGGATGAGCTGATTGAACCGAATCACAATGGATGCAACTTGCAAGGAATGTTATGGCATGAATTGCCAACGGCCAACTGGGAAGGGAGGGCCCAAGCGTCAGAATGTTCAAGGGGCTCCTTCCTGGTATGTTGACGGCGCAGTCGCAGCTTCCTATACAAAATTGTCAGTCCTTAAATACTCATCGCTGGACCTGGTCCTCTTTCTCTCCTTCAGCAACTCCAGGAATACTCGCGGCCATGAAGCTCCCATCTTCTCTGGACATCCTTCTCGCCAGACAGGCGGTTGGTGGTATTGAGGTTGACTACAACTCACCACCCCCAGACCTGTCCACACTCCCTGAGAACTCGCTGTTCGACACCTGGAGACCCAAGATCCACGTTCTGCCTCCAAATGGCCAGATTGGGGATCCGTGTGCGCATTACAATGATCCGGCCACGGGCTTGTTTCATGTCGGATTCCTCCACAATGGAACCGGCATTTCCAGCGTCTACACCGATGACCTGGTAACCTATCGTGATATAAACCCTAACGGGGGCTACATTATCGTTGCTGGCGGCCCCAATGACCCCTTAGCCGTCTTCGATGGATCTGTCATCCCCAGTGGAATTGATGACCTGCCTACGCTCCTTTATACTTCCGTCACGTCCTTGCCAATCCATTGGACTCTTCCATATACCCTTGGAAGCGAGACTCAGTCACTGGCTGTGTCTGACGACGGTGGCCACCACTTCGACAAGCTCGACCGAGGCCCGGTCATTCCGCTTCCGCCAGACGGACTCGATGTTACGGCCTTCCGCGACCCATACGTATTCCAAAATCACGAGCTGGATGAAGTTGTCGGTAGTGACCCAGATACATGGTATGCCACCGTATCTGGGGGAGTCCATGATGTAGGACCCGGAATATTTCTCTACCGCAACCAAGACCCTTCATTTGAGAACTGGGAATATCTAGGCGAGTGGTGGCAAGAACCCGCCAACTCGACCTGGGGTGACGGCACCTGGGCCAAACGCTGGGGCTACAATTTCGAAACGGGCAACGTCTTCTCTCTTGATCGAGAAGGGTACAACGTTGACGGCCACACGTTCATTACTGTTGGCGTTGAGGGTGCATACGCGCCAATCCAGCCCTCGGTTACATCCATGCATGCCATGCTGTGGGCAGCGGGAAACGTTTCCTCAGAGAATGGCGAAAGCGCTACCTTCACGCCTTATATGGCCGGTGCTTTGGACTGGGGCATGGCCGCATACGCCGGTGCTGGAAAGGTTCTCCCCAGCACTTCTCAGGCTTCTGAGAAGAGTGGAGCGCCAGACCGCTTCATCTCGTGGGTTTGGCTCACAGGCGATGAATTTGGCGCTGCCGCTGGATTCCCTGGTGCCCAGCAGGGATGGCAGAATACTCTTCTGCTCCCGCGTGAACTGAGTATACATACAATCCCCAATGTGGTCGATAACGAACTCGTCCACGAGACTGCGTCCTGGCGCGTGGTGGAGCATGACGGCGAGAGAAAATCGGGTGGTGTCGAGCTGGAGACACTGGGAATCAATATTGCGAGGGAGACATACGATGCAATCGTCGCCTCTTCAACCTCGTTTGAGGAGCCTCCGCGAGACCTAAATGAAGCCGGCACTGTTCCATTTGAGCGCTCGCCCACTAGCAGGTTCTTTGCCCTTGAAGCCCAAATCTCCTTCCCCCAGTCAGCGCGAGACTCTGAAGTTCAGTCCGGATTTCAAATCCTTGCTTCTGAGTTCGAGTGGACGACAATCTATTATCAATTTTCGAACGAGTCGATTGTCATTGACCGTAACCAAACAAGTGCTGCATCTGAGACTACACCTGGTCTCGGTACTGTGACCGAGTCTGGCCGTATCCGGCTTTTCGATATCGCGGGTGATTGCGATCATGATGGACACGGAGGACACGATGGTGGCCACGAGGGTGACGGTGACCACAACGGCGGCAACCACAATGGCGATGGGGGTGACAAGGACCGTGCTCGCCCCCAGAAGCAAGATGGCTCCTGCGACAAAGACCACGATAAGATTGAGACATTGGATCTCACCATTGTCGTCGATAACTCGGTGCTTGAAGTTTACGCCAACTCACGATTTGTTGTGTCGACCTGGGTTCGGTAGGTGTTTGATTTTTTGTTGATGAGAATTCACGCTGACTTGTAACAGACCTTGGTATGCCAATTCAACGGAGATTCGCTTCTTCCACAACGGCGAGGGCGAGGTCAGCTTTGGCAACATTGCTGTGCATGATGGCCTGTATGATGCGTATCCGGACAGGGCCAACTGAATATTTTCACTGGTTGATGTATTAGCTTGAGAGGCACAAAGATAGTGATAATTAGTAGCTTTAATCTAACGAATGACCTACCGACTTTGCAGTTTGTCCTCCTTCCCGGCTGAGTGACAGTCTGAGTATGAACCAAAGGCAGTTAGTACCATAAACGAGACTGCCTGACAAACCCAGAGATAATTTATGAAATCCCGTTGCCCTCAGCTGTCTAATGGCCTCAATTGATATTGCGGGGTATGGAGATGATTATAAATGTCTTATGAACAAGTCAGCACGCACAAACGGCTTCAATCACTGCCCGAAGACCCGAGCGGGGCGGATGCCGGATGTTCTGTATCCAGCTTGCCTCATTATTAATCAACGATGTTTAACTACATACTTAACAACAACACACTTGTATCATGTCACTCATCAGTTGGAACTTTAAGGCTGCTAAAAAATGGCTTCCAGACAAAAGATCCTGCTCCTCGGAGCAACAGGCGGAACCGGCTCGTCTATACTGAACGGTTTACTAGAATCCAACCAGTTTGTACGTTTCCATGCAGGCCAAGTCTGACAAATTACTAATTTAAAATACAGGATGTAGAGGTCCTGGTACGACCCAGCTCCGCAGAGAAACCAGCAGTGAAAGAGATAGAATCCCGGGGCGTCGCATTGCGAGTCGTGGATATCACAGCCCCCGAGCAAGAACTGGCCTCTGGCCTTGCGGGAATCGATATCCTGATTAGCGCCATTGGGCCTCACGATCTCTTGCAGCAGAAGACGCTAGTGAGGGCTGCAAAGAGCGCCGGGGTGAAGCGATTTGTACCCTGTGCGTTCATCACTGTTGCGCCGCCAAAGGGGGCGATGTTGCTCCGTGATGAGGTACTTGAATGCCCTGCCATCTTAAGGAGGAAAAAAAAAAAAAAAGAATATTGATTAACAATAAATAGAAAGAAGAGATCTACAACGAAATCAAAAGACTGGAGGTACCATACACCGTCATCGACGTCGGCTTTTGGCACCAGATCTCTATCCCCCCGCTACCATCTGGCCGGATCGACTATGCTTTGATGATGGCGGAACCTGTTATCCACGGCGATGGTAACGCGCCTAATTTAATCACGGACCTGCGCGATATCGGCCGCTTTGTAGCCCGGATTGTGGACGATGATCGGACGCTCAATAAGTATGTTTATACTTGGAGTGACGTCCTAAGCGAGAATGAGATCTTTGATATTGTGGAGGAGGCTTCTGGGGAGAAGATTGAACGGAAATATGTACGCTCCTGCACCCTATAATTTCACTCCGTGTTTGCTTACAATGTCATGCAGGACACCGCGCAGGATATTGAGAAACGGCTAGAGGATGCTCTGGCAGCTCTTTCTCTTGATCCGACTGATCCAGCGAAGCGCCTCCCCGTCTATATTGTGCAGTATATATATAGCAAGTATGTCCGAGGGGATAACCAGCCCCGGTATGCAAAGTATTTGGGGTATCTGGACGCGAGAGAGCTCTACCCAGACCTGAAGCTGGTTTCTTTCCGGGAATATTTTGCAGAGGTTTTGGAGGGGAAGGGGAAGAGGCCTTATCACTAGTGAGCCTGGTGGTTTGTCTGGACGTTATTGAGGATTACTTAACAGTGAATATATACCCTCTATACAAATATAACAGTGCTTAGTCCAGCTTCTTATCAGGTATATACGAAACTAATTCGCAACAAAATAATTCACAGCCACAATCTCTCCCAGCCCCAACCTCTCCACCATCCCATCAACATCAAACCTGACTCTCTGCATCAAACCATGCTCCCTCCCCAAAAAATCCGGGGGAATGCTCGATCCAGTCTTCTGGCTATACAGCAAGAAAAGATACCGATGCGGCGCAGCCCCAGGCGGCGGACCAGCAGGGATCCAGGACATAATCGCTTCGTCGTCGCTCTTAAGATTAAGACTATTACTACTTCCCAGTGATTCTGACTGGTTATTCTCGACGACCTTGAAGCCAGACTGGACCCAGTGAGAAATGGGCGAGAGGGCGTTCCATGAGGCGAATGGTGCGTCTATGTCGATGGAGATGGCTGTGTAGGTTGCTCCTGCTGGGAGTTGGAGGGCCGCGGGTGTTGAGAGGGTTGGTGGTTTTTGGGTGTCTTATGATGGTTTAATTAGATAGGGGAATTACTATATATAAAAGGTGGACATAGTTGTTTTGTAGTTTACAGGTACGTACCCTTTTTGTCGATTTTCGTCCCTGGGGAGACTTGTTGCCCGTTGATGTTTAGGCCGAGGACATGGTGCGTGCCGTCTTTGAGTGCCTGGATGACGGACTCGTGTTTGGCGATGTTGGGCATTGGAGATGTGGTTTGATCTTTTCTTTTCTTCTTTTCTTGGATTCTACACCGTAGAATTCGAGTTTAGGGGGGAGCGAGAGTTGAAGTACCGGTGATGGTCGGGTGTAAGACTTATCTCCGTAGTGCCAGTTTAGGGCTGTAGATCGACAGAGGAGAACTACATTTTTTCAACTGGAAGTAGATATAGAGTCATTGAGTCATTGACCATTAAAATAAGCGAAAAGCGCAATCTCGCTGATTACTAGGAATTTATTGATGGATGCTATATCCATAGCAAGACAATATAGGGGTATGGACTATATATGCTGAAGCCTCAAAACACAGTTCTAAGATAGGAAAAGTATCAATGAAAGCAGTGAAGTGCTTATGCCCAGGCCCTAATGCAGGAGGTTTATCTGCTCTGTCGACCCGAGTATGCAATCCCCTCGGCTGGCGAGTAAATTAATTGGATTCAATGTAATTGCGATCTGAGTGTTATTGGGATCGAGAGCAAAGTTATTATTAAGATTTACTAATTGGTATTATAGTTTTTTTGGCCAAGTTTTGGGTTGTGAGACGTGAGTTGTATTGATATTGATGAAATCAGGATCTTATATTAATTACCAAGTATATTCTAGCTAAGCTTCAGATTAGGGCAAAGCACAATAACCAAGCAACCACCTACACCTATACAATTGGAAAGCGTGTCTCCGCACAGCCACAGTACTGCATACATCCAATAACTGACTGCGATCGTGATCGAAATCGTAATCCGAGATCAGAAATAAAGTGCATGAAGTAATGCTGCAGCAGAGTGGAACCGACTCCGCACTGGTTGGTCCCCCCTTGATCCACAGCATCCAGCAGCTAGCCTGCCTCCCTAACTAAAGGAGTTCAGCCACTCGCACGGCCCAATTTCGAGGCCCCGGTTTCAGACTTGCACTTAGCATTCCAAATGGAGCCGACTCTGGCGTTTGATCGCCGCGTTTATGGGTTGTTTCAACGGGGAACAGCCCGCTGAGGATCCAGGAGGAGCTTCGTTATGCTGTTTTGGGTAGTAGCTCTGCTGGCTTAGCTTTTAGTAACGATGTAGTAAGATGTAGTCAGCTTAAGTTCACATGAGCAGCTGTGGTCGTGGAGTAAGGTACTACGGTGTGAGTACGGTAATGGAAATAGGGTAATTGGTCAAGTTCAAGTTGTTGAATCTTTTGTACATAGTATACAGTATCCATTTTGATCGCCCTGCGAACCAAGCCAATGCAAAACTGTATCAACACCGAATAATCATGCAAGACATCATAACATCGTACAGTAACAATAATATAGTACAGCGTAAACTGAGGAATCGTCACACAGCATGCAATAATAGAGAACAGTTGTCCCACCCGTGTATAAAACATGAACGAATCTTTTAATGCAATCATTTTTCACCACCCATGCCACAAAACATAAATCTATGCCCAATTGGGATAAAAAAAAGCGAGAACCCAAAAACAAAAAAGGGACGGGGCTTGCCTGCTGAATCAATACACGAAAATAACAATAACAACAGTATAGTAGTAATAATTAAAAAGAAAGGTGTAGAACGGGGAAAAGATGTGCGTCATCGGACATCAACGATGAATGTGAAAGTAAAGGGCGCCCTTAATTTTGGGGAAGCGCAGACGTCAGTCGGCAGCGGTGGTGACGTCATATCTGCGCCGATGGACTGAGTCGCTCGGCCGAGGAAGTCCCGGTGTGGAAGTCTCCACGGCGATCCCGGTTTGTCAGCGACTCGTTTCCCCATTGAGCGGCGCCTATGACATCAGAGGCTGGCTCCATGTCATTTCGAGTCATTGGGTCCTCTCCAAAGCTCCTGGTCCCCATTCGTTGCTTCGAGGAGGATTGTTCTGCCACAAACCCAAGGGTCCAGCATTGCGGGTTCGTCGCATGCTTGCTCCCCCTTTTGGGGGAGGGATGCGCTTTACTCGCGCCCTCTGCGCTTCTGCTTGCCTGGCCAGTCAACTTCGGGGTGCACTACCCGCATGTGCCGTGTCAGGGCATCATTGCGCGAGAAAGTCTTTTCCTCGGTGCACAAATGACAGCGGACCTTTTGCTTGCGAGCATTGTGGATCGTGTCTTCGTGCCGCGTAAGATCGTAAGGTCGGGAGAATACTGAGTTGCAGGGCTTCCCTGTCGAAGGATTCGTCCGCTCACACTTGTGGGGACCAGCCTGTGAGTTGCGTGACGAGACATCGCCGCGAGGAACCATGTGATGCCCGCCCGGTGTGGTTTGACGGTGCGCCTCACGCTTGTGCTTCTGCAGCCTTGAGGGTGTCTCGAAACGCTGTGTGCAACCGTGGTATGTGCAAGTGTACGTGCCACCCTCCGCAGAAGTGTTTTGCGGTCGCTGGACTGTCCTGGACATAGAAGGCGAGGCCATGTCATTAGAGTAAACATCGCTTCCCGTAGACTCAAAGCGAGGCATTGACGCCGGGAAATCCGGGGTCTGGTGTAAGAAGCTCTGTTGCTGCTGTAGAGACTGCCTGCGACTCTGTTCGGGGTGGTTGAATGAGAACTGCTGGTTTGGCGCCTGGTTGAATTGCGCAGGGAACGAATCCACCGAGGGGAAACTCGGGGCTTGGAAGGTGTTGTCCTGTCGCAGCCCAAGGGTATCACCGAGATTGAAGTCGGGCTGGTAGGGCATGTGCAGACCATGGTCGTCACCCTCGTTGAAATCGTTCAACACTGCATCCTTGGGCGAGATCGTCTTTGGCTGCTTAGGTTGAGGCTGGGGCTGCATAGACATTCCATTTTGGCTTGTGGGCACGCTGGTTACTGCCTGCTGCTGTCGGAAAGCGTCATTCTCGTATTCTGCTGCCAGGGGAGAGTTCTGTCTGAATGGAGAGCGCTCTCGGTGGATTGAACCAACGGGTGATTGAGTTCGGGCAGAGTTTGCGGCCTGGAGACGGTTCGCGATCATGTTGGGGTAAGATGGGGCAAGTAAAGCGTGCTGCTGGCTGGAAGACTGGTTTGCAGCCTGTGGCGTGGTCACGGCAGCTGGGTTGAGCAGCTCGTCCTGGTAAATGTCGGTCATTGTGCGGTTGAGCTTGGGGATAAGGCCGCTGGCAGCGTTGTACTCTGGAGGGAGGTCAAAACGTAAGTAATCATCCAGCCACCGATCATCGGCGGGGAATTGGGTCTCACCATTGCCAGCAGCTTTGGAGCTGTCGTCAGTTTCCTCATAGTGGTTCTGAGGAGTGACAGGAGAGTTGTGGCTCACAGTTGAGACGGATGCCGTGTGAGAGTGGTCGCTTGGCTGGTGCTGGTGCTGTGGCTGGTTCTGTTGCTGTTCCGCCATGAAGGAGTAGCTACCATCTTGCGACAGATCGTTCTTCTGGAACTGAGGAGTCAGGAACGTCTGTTGTACAGGGGTGTGCACCGGCGTAGGCAGAGGCTTTGCGGAAGCGCTGTTGTAGTTGTTGCCGTTGAATGAGTTCCCTGGCGACCGCCCTAATGATGAGTTGGGTGTCTGCTGCTGTGAAGCGGTGTACTGGTGTGCCATGCGCGGGATAGCGTGGGCATGAGCTGGGGTAGACAGCTGCGCGTTGTTTTCCCACCCGTGGTTGTTGATGTACTGTTGCGCCAACATTTGAGAGTTGTCAAAGACGAATTGCTGCGGCTGGTATTGAGGCAGGTACGACTGCGGCTGCGGCGAACCGGAGTGCTGGATGTGAATCTCAGGGTTGTAGGATGGAGCAGGGGTCATTGACGGTGCTTCAAAGGAGGATGACGACCCGTCAAAGACGGCAGCGTAATTAGCAGAAGCTGCCGTTGTGGCGGGAAAGTGAGAGATGGAGGAGGCTGGTGACGAGGTAGTAGGAGACGATGGCACGGAGTTTGGTGGAGAGACAAAGGTCAGGTCCTGGCGATAGTGGAAAGGCGACTGTAGGCGCGGTTGCTCCTGGCTGAGAAACTGGAAGGGGATGTCTTGAGAGTACTCGGGAAGGTACTGGTCGTCTTGGATGAAGACGGAGTCGGGATAGTTGATGAAGGGAACGGAGGTTGGTTCTGTGTCACCTTTACGTACTGATGGGTGCATGAACATAATGTAATGTGGTGGACGTCAGGAGAGGATTTGCCACTCAAGTAGTCGAGAGCTGAGATGATAGATAATCGGTTGGCTCAGAAGGCCACCACCAAAGTTGGGGGGGGATGCTTTCCACGTATTGGGAGGCGACGTTCTATGGTTCGGGGGACAGGAAAACTGGAGAGTTCTGGAAGGGTCGGGCAGGTATGATGAAATCGAGTCGAGTGCGAGGAGGTTTGAGTTTAAATAAGTTCGAAAAAGTCGGATTCTTGGGTCTAATAGTGTTTTGGAAAGTTATTAGTCTTTTGAGTCAACCAGGTATGACGATGAACTCTGTCACAGTGAGGGTGCCGTGCGGCCGGCATGGGCAGCAGTGGGGATTGGGTGTCATGGCTGGATAAGGTTGACTCACCTAAGATTAGTGTATTGAAAGGGCTGAGAGAAGTGTGGCTTGAGTGTTGGATGTCTGAGTTTCTGGGGCAAAAAAGATGGACTGTCTGGAGGAAGAGAAGCCATAATTAATACCTCGAGTCGAATGGATTATGAGGTCACACTAGCAAGTGGAAGCTCCATGTTCTGTCTTGGTCGGGTCTGAGGCAGCGGACGGAGCGAATCCCAGCTAGCGGTATTATTGCGTACTGTGACGATTTAGCGTCTCCACCCCCATTGCCTATTCCTACTATTTTTAATTCATTTCTGGTTTGGGTTTTTTATTTGGATTATTTTTTATTTTTTCGATTTTTTTACGCTTCTATTTCTGATCAGCGACGATCATCGTGACAGTGTGTCGACGACTCGACTCCCTTCCCAGCCTTGTCCCTCGCCGATTGGGCTGCAGAGATTTTCAACCTTGAAGTGCTCGGTGCACAGTATTGCACCACATCAGTTATTGACCTGACAGAGCATGCCATTCCGTTTTCTTCCAGTAGCCGACTTACACCCGAGTCTTCCCTACAGGCCGAATAATCTTCACTAGGCCTATCCTCGGCACTAATCTAGGCTCTTCTATCTAGTTCTACATAAAAAATGCTGATGATTAAGAATTGTATGACTCAAAAAATAATAATATGCTGACCCCGGACTTTGCACCACAATCTCCCTGCCTTCAGGTAACAGCCGATACCCCGGAGCGGATTGGGCAGTTAATCGCAGACCCACCGAGTCTTCAATGGACTGACAACAAATGTGAGAGGGTGTGGAAGCATTAAGCGCTCAGCCACAGATCCAGCACCTGGAGACTCGGGCCCGACCCGGGACCGACCCCAGCGAGGTGATCTCAGCAATGACAAATGAAGACAGAGGCCTTGCAGGAGAATTCCATTCCCAAGCAGCGCTGGGAGCGGGTCGCTTCGAAGATCAGTGTTGAGTTGGCTCTCCACATTCCAGCACAGCGAGGCCGCTGAGTGGCCAGAGCGGCACTGGCGTCCCCGAGAGAACACGAATTTTACAACAGAAGCAGTTGAAAGGAACTGCTTGCTCAGCCACGATTTCCCGCTCGGGGACACCACCACAGGGCTGTGGCTTGTGTGAAGAAAAAAGAAAGCCACAGAAACAGTTCAAGCCACAGGGTCCAGCTCGGACTTCACCGCAGCCAATGGCAGAGCAGCAACCGCTGACGTTCTTCGCTCTGAGAGGCCCCTCGCTCCCTCACTGAACCGAGATCGCCGTCTAGCGCAAAGCCGGGTTGCCTTTCTGAAGCCGACCACGTTTCCCGCTCTCTTTCTGCATGCACTGCGCACAAAGCAGGGACCAGAGATTGGTCTTGGAAAAGTTGGAAAACTCTCGGCTGCGATTAACTTTATTTCCGTTGAGTCTTCGGTCTTCTCCTAACCCAACATTAACGGCACACTGGTTCCGAAACCCAACACACCACACTTTCTTACTGTCTGAGCCTCGTTTTTTCGGCCGACAGTTCGCTTATTTTCGTTTTCCATGGCCAAGGAAGCACGAAGACGTGGTTTCTTGCAAGAAACGCTGGTCAGCTGATAGCCATATCACGGGGATTGTAGTCAGACGGGCACATGACCACAAGTGACGGGAGAACAACATGATCGCAGTCAGACAATCCGCAAGTCCGACTTGTATTACTCCGTACCGCTACCGGAATTAACGATCTGTAGTACCTGCTAGTAGTTCCTCGCTTACGAACCGCAACACCTGACTTGTTCGGTTTCTGTCCATGTGGTTCGGTCTGAGCGTTGTTAGCCTGGTAGCTGACTAAGTGGATATCCAACTCGTTTCGCTCTCCTTACTGTACTGAGTAAAAATAATAAACATAATATAATGTATAATGAAAATGAGTTCGCCGCGCTGAATGGAAATCAAGCTGCCTGGGATTCCTCCCTCCTGTCGCATGGCAGGGCAGGGGGCAGGGAAGTTTGCCGATCGGATCTATAGATCGAATCAACGCTTAAACCCACGAGCCACAACGGCCCAGATGGAAGATCCAGCTGGACCGGACTGAACACTTCCTAGTCTCATACAAGGTCCAGTAGATTCGATCCACCGTAAGAAAATACGCACAAAATCCACCAATCTCAAGTAAACCAATGTCTCTCGCACTCCTTCCATCTTCCGTCCATCCAATAGCCACACTCTAAGCGAGTCAAGTCTCACAAACAAACCTCAACCGGCAATGCAATGGAACCCACCCTCCACATGGATACACCTCGTACAAAGCAAGTGGGCCCGAAACCCAATCAACCCCAGACTCAGCCCTTCCAAGTTCCCAGCAACCAGGTAATCGAATCGCCCGTGGACTTTCCCAGCCCTTTCCCCTATTCAATCAGAACCCGGCGATCTCATCTGCCGTCCCACATCCCGCGGACAAGACAGCTGAACCCGGTGGCGAGGGCCCTGTCTATCTGGCTGCCTGCTCCACGGATCTGCGGATTTGACACTGACACATGCAAATATGTGTGCTTGTGCTTGCGGACTGATGGATGGTGGATGCTGGCTGCTGAGTCGTTGGAATTTCTTACGGGGGTATGCTGTACAAGGCATTACCTTACCGATCTCATCTAACGTTGTACTACTTAGAGTTTTTTATGCTCCTTCAAAGTTCTCGACCACCCCTAGTCCGCTCTCGGTAGGCTCTACGATCATGGAGGGTATCTTCAGTTCAAAGGATGCTTATTGCTCGCGTGTTTTTCCTACCCAGGAAAAAAGAAAAAGAAAAAGAAAAAGAAAAATCAGACCCTAGAACCAGACAGGGATGCTGTAGTCTGAGATCATGCAGATTCAACTACGGGAAAAACGAAATTATGCAGAGCACGGCATAGATAGAATGGGGTTTACCCGCTCCCCGAAGACCCCGATAGATGCCATGTCTGAGGTGTCAGATTCGGGGCGGGTTGCATTGGGGCCTGTGGCTTTCATTGGGCCAGGCCGGGGGTTATTGTTGGGTTCCCGAGCGCGGGTAGCCGATTCTTCGGGATCTTGACACCCGGCTGGGCTGGGGCTGACCGCGCTGGGCTGGGGTTTGGTTTCTGATACTGTCTCACTTGGTGTACGGTGTAGTATTCGCTTGATGGATTATCCTCGGTGTCTCTTTGTTATTCTAACCGTGTATTCGACTAGCTCGGCTAAAGTGATAGATCGCGAGTACTACACGACCATGCCAATGCAACTGCACCTGCTTTGCTAGTGTAGACATCTCCCTCGAAAACCCTAATTCCGGGCCTCTGGCCAACGAGGAGGAAGATGAAAAATCTTTTCACATCGGGATTGATCCTGATAGGGCGCAGTAAAGTTTGCAGTGTCAGCACTTTAACCAGTGTGCATTCATCAACAGAAACATGGATGAAGCCACTAAGGCAGGGTGAAAATTTCAATCTCCATGTGCAAGGGCTCTGAACTGGATGTGAGGAGGGTGATTGGCAGAGCGGCACAGCCACAAAGCCACAACCTGCTTTTTCGGGTCATGGGGGTGGGCCTCGGTCGGGCTGGGGGTGGGGCTGGCAGGTTGTTGATGATGAAAGGATTATGGAATATGGCCTGTCAGACTTTACTTGCGAGACTCAGGTCAAGTGAATACGTCTTCATGCAGGAGAATATTCAGGAAGCAGATTTCTAATTCTGAAGATAGAAACCCGACAATCCGAGCAAAAGCCATGGTATCTCCGCGGTGAGGCTGTGCCAGAATAAAATACAGCGCGTACGGGCGTGACAAGCGTGGCCGGAGAGCCGAAAGCCGAGACCAGCCAATCAGGCGGCTTGGCATCGGGGACTCCGCAAGGGCCTCAGGCTAGTAATCGACCAAGTCCTCAGAATCCTGGAATCCTGGCACTTAGTACGAGTTAGCGCCGAAAATTCTGTTCTAGTGTGCTTCTCGAAGCCTTCTGTCTCTGGCCGCGTCTTCCGAAATGCTGCATGGCTGGCTTGGCTGCAGGGAAAGTTTCTTCTTCGTTGCTTCGAGAAGTTACGTGCGTGTTCTGGCGGAACACTCGGAGCAGCTGGACGAGTTGGCTGTGACAGTGGTTGTTTCCTGTGTTTCCTGTCGACTGCAGCTCTCAATATCTCCGGCTGACCCAATATTCTCATCTTGTCGTCCCACAACGTCAAGTGATCAGAATAACCATACTATTGATGTTGATGGTCCAACTGCTCCGTATTTGATATCGAGCCGACTCTGGATCGTCGGGCCGGCAGATCAAGCCCAGACCAGCACCGGAACACGGCGCTGTCTCCGTCGGTCGCATCCCCGCTGCGCCCAGCAGATACAGACTGTAGTACACTGTAGTCTATCGTGAGTCGTAATCCATCTCGTTGATTGCCTGGATATAGTTCGGCAAAACAACGTCTCCGGCCTGCGTATTCGTGGAATATCTCCGGCGGAATGCGCTGTCCAGCAATGTCTCAGTCTCACCCTGCGTGCCCGGCTGTGCCCTGCATCAAACAGAGACAGTATCACCATCAGAACCCAAACCTTTCGCCGGCTAAACCATTGCGCGTCCGGGTTGTGTGAATACCGAATCCCGGCTGGATGTCTCAGATGGATGCGACCGTTGAACTCGAACACGCAACTCCAGAAATAAAAATAGAACAATCAACCGACGCTCGACCATGTGTTCAACTGATTGACTCCAGTTCCAGTTTCTTCCACGTACCGTGTATCCTGAGTACCTAAAGTCCATTCCGTCCTTCCATCCTCCTGATCAGAAAATTTTTCATCTTATCAGCCCAGCCCAGA